AGTAAAAGGTACACAAGAAAGCCATTCCAGTTCCTTCCCTGCATTTTTTTTTTTATTAAACTCACTAGATCCACCCAGGCCTTTGCCTAATCACTCCCAGGAATGTCTCATGTGCAGATCCCTGGTGCTGCGGTAGCAGCTCACGTCTGTTATTCTAGCACCTTGGTGGTGGAGACAGGAGAATCACAATTGTGAGGCAGATTGGGATAGCAAGACCACTCCTCCCCAAAAAACAAAGACAACAACAAATCAGTAACTATGTCCTCACTGCTAAATATATGGTCCATCCTCAGTCACCTTACTTGATCAAGTCACAAGCTCACTTCTTTTACTAGGTAGGCCTTAAGGATTCAACACATTCCTGCTTTTTAACTTTCTTTCCTGGCAGTTCCTTCATGGTTATACTCATTCTGCTGACTTGGAAATATTATCTTCCTGGGCCAGAGACATATCTCAGTGATAGAGTATTTGTCTAGATGCACAGGGGTATGTGTGGGTTCTGTCCTTAGCAGAGCATAAGATTCTTATGAAAATGACTGCCAGTTTTACACCTTTACTCTGGATCTTTCTCAAACTCCAGACTAGTATCTGTGTTTCCCGTTGACTTAGGAGGTCAGATCTCCTTTCTGAATGTCCAAAGGCTTATGTCTAAGCCTTCTTCCACAGTATGTCCCCACCTCAGTTAACGGTAATCTTCATTCTTGTTGCTTTGGCCCAAACCTTGACAGTTGTGTTTTCATACCATCTTTAGTCTGTCAGCAAACTGTCTTCTAATATATTCCTAACTCCGACCTTCTCACTTCCACTTCCATTGCCCTTGTCCAAACCATTGCTACTGGGCTGGCCTCTTCCTATTCTCAATGTAAGGGGATCCTATCACTCTTCTGCTCAAACCTCTAAGGGCTCTCAGGGTTGTCAGAATGGCTTTTAACGTTGTAAGTGATCGCTGGACATTGGTGGCACACACCTTTAATCCCAGCACTTGGGAGGCAGAGGCAGGTGGATCTCTGTGAGTTCGAGGCCAGCCTGGTCTACAGATCATATTCCAGGACAGGCTCCAAAGCAACACAGAGAAACCCTGTCTCGAAAAGCAAACAAACACTGTCTACATAACACTGCCATTAATTTCCTCAAGAGCCCCTACAGCAGTGCTTCCAGTAAAGTTAGGATTCTCTGCCCTAAATAATGATTTAAAGACATAAGTGTAGGATCATGGCTGCTAAGAGTTCTGTTTGTAAGACTTACATGGTAGAGGAGGAATTGGGAAACTAGGATCTCACACATGCTAGGCAAGTCTTTATGAGTGAGCGACACCCACTCCTTATTCGTTCTGAGACAGGTGCTGGACTGGCCTTGAGCTCAGATGCACCTCGATTGTTTAATCATCCTGACTCAGTCTCCTGAGTCGATGGGATCAAAGACTGGACTACCAGCTCTGGCTTGCCTTTATTTAGAAATAAATGGACTGAATCTAATAATCTTTCAATATTTTTGTTTGATATTATACTTGAGTGACCCTATTTATCCACAGTTCTTTCATTAGGCCATATGCTCTTTTCATAAAGTTGATCTCTCAATACCGGCTGGTCACAGCAAGAGCTGCCTGTCAAGGCCCTGCACCACCCATGCTTGTTCCTTTAGAGATACAATTGCCCTCTGAAATTCTATCCTGTGTATACACAAAGGCCACTTGGCTAATTTCTATCCCAAGTCTCCCTGTTACAATAGGATCTGACAATAAACCTACTGTATCCTTTTTTGTTACAGGAAATAGTGTCCCAGGAGGAAGAACATGATAAAATGTAGTGTTTCTATATGAAGGTATAAGCTAAATTAGAATCACTAACATCGTAATGCTGCCCTCTAAAGTAATTGCATGCAAAAACAATACTCTGTGGGCTATGTAAGGCATTTTTCTTTATTATTTTTCAATTTATTTTAGTAATGCCAGAAAAATAACAGCCATTATTTTCACTTTTAACACAAACCAATACTGCTGCACATAGAGTACAAAGATTACCTAAAACATATTTAGGTACAAAGGCCGTTAGATGTATGGACCACACTTTGTTCTTACATCAAAGTGAGACTGACAGAGCAGATAACTGTGCTACTAAACAAAGGCAAATACACATATATACACAGACACATCTCAACTAAAATTATACATGTCACTTTGACAAACAAATTCTCTGGTGGGTTCACCCAGGTATTTGCACCCCCAAACTCCCTGCCCTAATCCTGCCCCCAAATGCTGACTTGATCTGAAAAAAAAAAAACCAGAAATGTTCTTAATTAAAGGCACATTTGGCAGCTACTGAAAGTGGCATGCGTCTGGCATGGGTGCGCTCTGAGGCACTCCACATAGAACTTGCATCTTTTGTGTATCTTGGTTTGTTGAGTGGTAGTCCGATGTGATCACCTTTAGCTAACTTTATAATTTTTCAGCAACTGGCGATTTAATGCACTATTTTTATTAAAGGCAAAAGGGAAATTTGCTCACAGTTGACAGAAAATGCACTTTATGGTGTCAAAAATGGAAAATAAGGCATGAGACTTATAAAAGAACTTACAAGTGTTTTTGTTGCTTAGATTTCTCATGTAGAGCTCATGCTTTTTTTCTTAATTAGAATACAATACCTCACTGGCTCATGTATAAGGGACTATGAAATCATTTTAAAAGTTAGTACTGTTTCAAATGAAAAAAATTGAATAAAGTCATTACTTTCCTTTGAATTTTACTGCATAATTTTTCAGCCAAATTGACAGTACCCTTGTGATGTGTATTTACTGGTAAAGACTAACGTGCAATGCACAGAGCCTGCACCTGTACAACAGGCACATGATAGAGAGGGAAAGAGCATGCAGACCTACCTAGCAGCACAACACCACGTAGTAAGTGGTAGTCTTGGTTCTAAATCTGAAGAGGGGATAAGGTTTTCCTCTGTGTGTACTCTAGCTGGGACAATATCCCCATTTATTTTCCTGAGCCACTAGACACCCCTAATTTAGGCCATTCTATTAAGATAATGAAATAACATGTGAGCAGAATTTAATTACATGATCATTATGATAAATACCACTTTGGGTTTGCATTAAGAATTTGGAATCAGTATAGCCTCCAAATTAAATAGTACTTTAATAGTATGTTTTGCTGATATTTGGCATATTGTTGGCTCAACTCAGATCCATTCAAACATTTTTGAGTCAGAGAATAGTAGCCTACTAAACTCACAATTTGATGACCAGCAGTCTTTATTTAAGCATGAAATTTTAATTAGGCAGACTTTGAATATTTGTCATTTTTAATCTTCAAACACATTTGAGAGAGTAGAAAGAATAGACATCCCCCACTTTTAATAAATTTAGAAACATGCACTTGTCCATTCTTGTTTTTCAAAGTGCTTAGCTGTGAAAAGCATTTCTATTACTGGTTATGAGCCCACCAAGAGGTACTCCCTCTACTTTGTGATCCAAGGATAAGAAAACATTTGCTGACACTTTGTTTTCTGGATGAAATGTCCCATGTTTGGGGATGTAGTTTTGCTGCACTAGCTGCCTCATAATGTCCTGGTTTCAGATGCAGTTCTGTAATGGTGCTTTTTTGTGTTCTGCCACTTCTTGTCCCTGAAAAAGTTCATTTTAGTTAGGACTAAGGATAAATTTGTCAGCCAGATAATGTTTAAACCAAGGATACAGCCTTTTCACCTTTACCTCAGGGTATCCAATCAGAACTTTAAAAAAATCAGTTACCACTACAAAAAATTTTTGTTCAGATGCCATAGTTGAGAATAAAAATATCCTCTCTCTGCGATGCATATAAAATAGCTGCATGGTGTAGTGGTCTACTAGGTCAGTGGAGTAGAGAACAGTTTCCTTTGGAAGAAGTATGATTAACTCCAAATCTGGGCATTCCCTCCCTCGTTGGCTCAAGCAGAGTGAAAGGCTCACCACCCTATTGAAGGCAACCCTTGCCAGAGAGATACTGATGTTGCTTTCCTTAGGTTCTCACTTGATGGTATGATCAAAATGTGATCAGTAAACCATGGGAAATTCTAGGGACAGTTAGGCTGGTCTAATAAGTCACAGGAGAATTTGGGATGTCATTACAGTCGTATGGAGCAGCATTAGTAAGTGGGTCTAGCTAGTTACTTTTGTTGAACCAATGGTCATTTGTTCAATAAATGGTCTTATAGATACTTTGCATCCAAGAAGGGATTTGAAATTAACTTTTGAGGACATTAACTCTTGAGGAAATTAACTCTTAAAAGAGACATTTTGCAAAAAAAATGGCTACCATAATGGGAATGGTACAGACATTAAGTGAAAAGACTCAACTCTAACAGACAAGGAGATGGGATAGACTGCTTAATGATGATGCAATGAACGTCCTTTTCTGATCTTAGAAGACTATACACTGCACTATTGAGATGCACATTAGTGCTCTAGTAAACATCACGAGACATTATTAATGCGCTAAGTTTCCACCACGATGCAGCACAGTTCACAGAATGCTGCTTCAGTGTTGAGCACATGCACATTGACGACTGTCTAAGGATGGGATACTACACATTCACGGACATGGTGGAGATTAATAAACTTTTCTATTCAAGTTGCATGCATGTCAGTCACAGTATTTGTTAGACTTAGAAGAGCAGTACAAGGCTTCATGAATAAACAAAACCACATACTAATGATTCAGGTGGATATTCTCTAAGGAATAGCTCTGACAGAACCAAATACTTTAAGCAAAGTAAATATAAATGATAACAAACATGTATGGTTGTTCGAGAAATTAAAAAATCTACAAGGTTCTGCTTAAAATATGCCCATCCCATTTTTAAGCCATCTTCCCTAATCTGCCAAACCCACACCTTTAGATCACTCTGTGAGAGCTAGGGGCCCAGGCGTACCACATGTGCTGTTATGCTTAGTGTTGTATGTTTTTCAACCGAAAGAAATAAGAATCAACCATTTTATCCACATAATAATTTAATATATGCCAGCCAAACAAAGTACTTCATCTTTATTCAATTAAATAAAAACAGACCTGTCAGGTATATTATATAACATTCATTATATACACATGATTTAGGCAATGCAAGGTAATTCTAAGTATGCTGACTACTCAACTATTAGTAAAACATGAAAGGTGTCAGTGAGGCCCAGAGAGCGTTCCTTTTCACATTGGGTGCCTGGATTTCTGCAGTACAGTTAGAGGGACAGCCACAAGCTGGGACATATGTTACCAGTAAACTCCTGTGGGACAAGGGGGGAGGGGGATGACAGTCCAGCATAGATTAACAGTCTCCTAAGTGTAAATAGTATACTTGACAGTTACATCTTAAAAAGTTCTTCTGTCATGTTAATGACATGAAATTTCTTGTTGGAAGGCAACACCACCACACTTTGTGAGTGGGGGGTATGTAGGGAATGTTCATAAAATTGGTATAATTATTTTTAAAACAATAACAATAACAAAAGTACCTCTTTGGTGAAGCCTCGGTACCCATTCAATTCACTGTAATAATCTGTAAACAGGACTGCAGTACAGTGCTGGGCCTTGATTTCAACAAGGTCAGGTACCACAGCCTTTTCTCACAGTCCTCTGAATGATTTTTATGACAACATTCTAAAATAGAAGAGTAAAGCAAAGGAAAACAAAGGAGGATAAGATCCCTGTTTAAGATTTTTTAAAAAGTGCATAATATTTTGAATTACAAAAACTGTCAACATATGGGCCTGTTGGACATTAGACTGTTTTCCATCCCTTTAATGATAAAGATTACTTCACAAAATGAGGACTCTTGCCTATTGGCCAGAAGAGTCCCTTCCTGTGACTTCCAGGTGCAATCAGTTGTCCAGTTCCCCTAGATCAGGGTCCACATTCTAAGCTGGAATACCACCTTATTGTGTAATCAAGTGTACGTTACAATCCATTGTCTCTTTTATGTCTTGAAGCAGAGTCCTTAGTGTTTGGAGCTCTCATCTTAACTCCTCGGTGCTGGCATGTTTCAGTGCATCCATTGCCAGCAATGGATGTGGGCGGGAAACTGTATACCCAGGACAGAGAACTCAGGAGGAATGGGCATTCTCCAACAGTGGTGGTCCATCTCTGTGCATGGATGGGTGTGTGTGCTCCCTCTTGTAAGTTTTTGGAGGAAGTTTAGGGATAAGTTGAGAAGTGCTTTGTCGTGGAGGAACAGGAGGCCCAGCAACGGGATGGAGGTCCACTTCCTGTGTCAATGGTGGTGATGGCAGATGCCTTCTTGTGCCATGAGGAGAAGGAGTTTGAGGAGGTGGTGGTGTAAAGGGGGAAGGACTATTTGGGAAGAAGGCATTGCCATGATCACTCTTTTTGCCCAAAGGGGGAGGTTGGAGATGTAATGGTGAGCTTGAGAAAACATCAGGTGTCCTCACAGGTTCTCGTGGTGGTAACAAGGGAGGGCTTTCAGGAGGGTCTGATACAGAGGTCCGATCTGATAGTGAGTATCTTGGTGAATAGGCTTTTGATGTGGGTTGCCTAGGAGGAATAGCTGGGGGGCTGTCCAAGTGCTTAGGCATAATCTAACAAATGAAAAAGAATAGAACATGTGTTAATTGTTTAATTTGGAATTTTCAGCCATGCTACTGACAGAACACTGTGTGTAGAACAGGGAGTTTTACTCTCTGTAGTGAGATGCTCTACCAATTCTTGGAGAAAAAAACCTAACAAACAAGCCAATTTTGTCAAAATTAAGTAAACAATTTGTTGTTTACTACTGGTTGCCTATCATACAATGCATGATGATTTCTGATTCAGCATAAAGTATCCACTAGTTTTTTTTTTTTTGGTAGTGCTCACAATAGGCAAATGAACTACCACAGTCCTAATTATTAAGTTTAAAATGTACTGTATTAATGTTTCATGAAATCTAGAATGCCTTGACATATCCTGGTGCATCTGTTCTCTAGATGGCTTACGGCTAAATAAATTAACAACTGGCAAAATGAAATAAATGATAAGGGGGAAGGGGGATTTAAACCAGTAGGAAAGTTAGTTATCATGAGTCTTTAGGATCTCTTCTAACCTAGAATTTAGGTCCTTTTGAACTTAGCTCAGAGCATAGCTGTTAGCAGATAGCCAGTATAGTTTCTTTTAGTACACACCTTCACACACATGCCACACTGCACTTGCACTGCCCACCCCCTGGTTTAAAGGAACTGCACGAGGGCTGCAGAGATGGCTCAGCTGTTGAAGACAAGGCTCACAAGCAAAGTATAAAAGAACTGCATGAGCTCAAGTTACTATTACCTTGTAGATTAAGACTTGTTTTATTCCTTGATAATGCTCATAGCTATAAATGTATACGAGTTTTGTATGCATACTCAAAAACTACCTTTATAAGAAAACAAGTATCTTGCATGCTAAATTTATGCTTAATCCTTAAACTATTAAACCCAAATACTGAGATGTTAGCTTATCCCAGTAAGAATAGACTTGCCATAAACAACTGACCAAAGCTAATGATTCCAGTATTGGTTTACCTTAGATGGGGAGGACTCTGCTGGGGCAGATTCTGGCCGTCTTCGAGGGGGAACAGGAGGGGGGATGGGCACTTCATCAGTGCCTTTGGCTAAACTTATAGATGAGACCGAAGCAGATCCTGCAAGGTGTTAAATTAAAAACAAACAAACAAAAAAAACAATGGGTGTAGTTAGAAGAGAGACATGGTTAGATGTGGAAGCTGCTCATTCAATAGGTTCTTTTAAAGAGCAAAAGGCTTTATAAAAAGCACAAAAAGTGCATATATATATATAACAATTGCAGCAGTGAAGGCTCACTTCTAGATGGGGCAGGCAAGGAGAGTCAGCAGGGGAAGGTGACCCCAGCCTGGTTTTTAAAGCCAAAGCAGGAGTTAAGTATTAAATTAGATATACTGACTTGGGCCATGGGGTATGTAACCTAGGTAAAGATGGTATCGCTGCCCAAAGGAAGGAAACAGGGAAAAGTTGTTTTTTCCAACTAGTATTATCAGCTATCTATAAAAATGTATGCATGATGACAGTGTTTTTGCCATGCTAGTTTTTAAGAATATCAAACAGCCGGGTGGTGGTGGTGCATGCCTTTAATCCCAGCACTCGGGAGGCAGAGGCAGGTGGATCTCTGTGAGTTCGAGGCCAGCTCTGGTCTACAGAGCCAATTCCAGGACAGCCTCCAAAACAATAGAGAAGAACCCTGTCTTGAAAAACAAAAAAAACAAAACACACACACAAAAAAACCCCAAACATTTTTAGAAAAACCTTAGTAATGCTTCTGATAAGAAAAAAAGGAGTTACTATCATATGGGGAATTTTGAAGTTTTTCTTACTACTAATGTCATAAATGAAAAATATTCATTAGGAAACAATATGATGCTGTATTATTGGAAAGCTTTTTACATTTATTTGTGTATATGTGTGAGTATGTACATGTGCCGCAGTGTGTGTGTTTGAAGTCAGTTTTCTCCTTCCACTATGAGGACTCCAAGGTTTCAGTTTAGGTTGTCAGGCTTAGTGGCAAGCGCTTTAACCTGCTGGGCCATCTCACCTTCCCCATGGAAGGCACTGTCAACTGTGAAACTCAATTCAAGTGGTGGAGGCTCAAATCATTTACTAGAGATTAAAGGGAAAATCAGACAGATATGATCATATCCTTTGAAAATTTGCTTTTGGAACATCTATTGTTGTTATAAACTATTCAGTTTTGAATATTAAAACAAACTTCTGTATTCATAAACACACACACACACACACACACACATATTTGGTTCTTCCATATTTTTTATGTAGGAAATTCCTTGATAAATTTAGAATACCTAATTTCAAATATATTAATTCTTTAAGAAAAATTAAGGCCTTAATTTATTTAATATCAATGTTATTAATAGTTAAGTCTTAAAATAAAAAAAACATAAAAAACCCCAAATATTAAAATAGTGGTTCTCACCCTTTCTAATGCTGCAACCCTTTACAGTTAGTTTCTCATGTGCTGACCCAACCATAAAATTATTTTATTGCTATTTCATAACTGTAATTTTGCTATTGTTAGAAATGATAATGTAAATAATTTTTTGGAGGTAGAGGTTTGTCAAAGGGGTCTTTACCCACAGGTTGAGAACCACTGCATCAAAATGTAGGAAAATAGGGCTAAAATACCAAGGCTAGTTCTAAATAATCATTGCTATACTACTTCATTACCAGCAATGGAATAGAAAATAATCCAAGTGACTAAAATAATTCTTACAGTACTATATTGACCTGGTTATTTAAAAAAATTCAGATTTTCCCTTCACGTGTTTTTAATTCTTTTATTATCACTATTATTATTATTAATGTTCATGGGTATTTTGCCTGCATATATGCCCGTGTGAGGGTATAAGATCCCCTGGGACTGGAGTTACAGATAGGTGTGAGCTGCCATGTGGGTGCTGGGAATCAAACCCAGACCCTCTGGAAGAGCAAGCAGCCAGTGATCTTAACCAATAAGCCATCCCTCCAGCCCCACCTTTCACTTGTTTTTATACAATATCCAATAACTCAATTAACTTGAGAGATTTTTCTAACTTTTGGTCAGGAGGATAACTGTACACTCCAGGTTAATTAGCCTGATGATGCCTCCTGTTAACCTAATTACCTTTATAAGCTAGTGTCATATCACAGTATTTCGTTTTTATATGTATAAGTAAGTAGCACTTTAGCGTTTTTCTATAAGTAGATTAAAACTCATTTTTATACTCTTAAATTACATGAAGCTGTTGTTCTGATTTTCTTTAAGTACAGAAGAGATCAAGGGAAGTATGTAGCTTTAGTATCCACCTTCTTACATACTTTTATTTTCCTTTAAATATTTAATTGTGTATGTGTGCACACCAATATGTGCATGTTGGATACTGGAGAGGGCATTAGGCTCCTTGGGACTGGAGTTTCAGGGTTGTGAGCTGCCTTGTGGGTGCTGGGAACTAAATTCAGGTCCTCTTGGAAGAGCAGTAGTGCCCTTATCCCATGAGCCAGGTCTCAGCCCCTAGATTCTCTTAAAAAGGAAATAGTATACCTTTAGAGATAAGCCCAAAGAACATCACAGTCGATAAATTCTAGTCGCTTTGGCCTTTTGGAAACCTAAGTAATGGGGCTGACTTTACGGTGAGTGGACTGGGCTCAGATGACAGCAGGCTGCAGTCACAGCACCCCTTTTCTGACTGAGACCCACAGGGGAGCTCTAGCAGCCCCACAGCTTTAGATCTGTTTGCCAGGGCAGACGGGTACCTTTAAAACAAACAGGCTATGGATGGAATTGGTGGTTTAGTTGAACATGAGGACTTACTTTATTTCAAAACGAGTTCTTTTCAATTTTTACTAAGGGGAGAGGAATAATTTCTTTATAAGAAATTGAGCCAGATGGTGGTGGCAGCACATGCCTTTAATCCCAGCACTCTGGAGGCAGAGGCAGAGGAGGCAGGTGGATCTCTGAATTCGAGGCCAGCCTGGTTTACAGAGCCAGGACAGGCTCCAAAACTACACAGAGAAACCCTGTCTCGAAAAACCAAAAAGAAATTGAGAAATCCTGAAGTTTAGGATTACAAAGCTTTATCATTTTTGGAACATTTCCCCCTCTTTGTCTAGAAACTTTAGTTTCTGACACATGCTACTCAACAAAACCCAGTAATCCAGAACGATGACCTCTCCTGTGACTAATCGCTTAGATTTAATACTACTAGAGAAAATGTGTTTATCTGTCTTCTACCTCTTCCAGTTTTAATTCAAAACTGATAATTTTCATGTGTCCTCAATAATTCAATTATTTAGGGATCATTATAATGTGGACTTAAAAGTCTCTCTCCTCTAGGATTAAAAATACAAGCAGACAGCTGAGTGGGTCCAACAATAATGAATTTTACTCATACAGATAGGAAAATTTGTTTTAGTGCTCAAGAGGAGTGTCTAATTGGATAAAAGTATTTTTTTCACTCAGTGTCTATGTGGCAGCTTCCTATGTGTACAATGAATGTAACTTCACGGTCCTCAGTTACTAAATAAAACAAGTAAACTCCCCATAAACACATCTTAGGTGGCATAAAGACAAGACCCACCACTGGTTTACTACAGACTGGTGCCTACTAGGAATCATTACACAGGATAATATACCTGCAAAGATTTACAGATTTTTAGTTGGTTTTTCTAGGTTAGAAAAACACCTAAAGTTCCACAAGGCATGCAGAAAGTATTTTATCAACGACTAGAGAGGTTATGAAACTTGGGATGGCTGGAGCTCTTAGCTCTGCCTCAGTAGAGATGGGAGGCTGCCATGAAGCTGGCGCTGGGTTAAGGCCTTGAGTGCAGTTTGATGGGAAGAACAGGTGCAAACACTCCCCAGCGCATTAAAGTTGAATTGATTCAAAGACTGCCCTAACAATAAACAGGTGTGAAGGGTGACCTGCTCTTAGGGAGCTGCGAAGCTCTAAAGAAACCTAAGCAAGTGGGCACTTTATAGAGGGCCAGCTGGAAAAGCCCATGAGTGCCGAGCGCATCCTTGGGCTTGTCTGAATGAGATGTGCTATGAATAGGAAATGAACATTGGATTTTAAATATTAAGAACAAGAATGTAAGATGTCTTGAAATAAGTTTTTATATTATTTCACACTGAAATAATTTCTTAGTTATGTTTGTTTTTTCTAATGTGGCTACTAGGCATTTATAGTCATACATATGGCTCTTATATTTCCGTTGGACAGTGATGACCTAGCAGTAACTATGTGATTTATATGGCTCTGCTTTTCATAGTACCAACAGGAACTACATATTACCAGGGTACTACAGGGAGTTAGAGGAAGAGTCATCTAGGAATTTGAATTTCATAAACTGTAAGGTCAGAAGCCAATACAGAATTTGGTGGGGTGGGGAGGGAATTCAAATTAATTATTTTGTGGGCTAGAGAGATGACTCAGTGGTTAAGTGTACTTGCTGTTCTTCTAGAGGACTGGGCTTCAGCTACTTGCTCCCAACCATCTGCAACTCCTGCTTCAGGTGACCTAACGCCCTTTTCTGGTCCCTGCAGGCACATACAGACACCCACACAGGCAAAACACACATACGCATAAAATTAAAAAAACAAACCACAGGGTTGACAGTCTTTGAAGATTTTTCAGGATGATCTTTGTTTCCTCTTGATATGAGAAGTGCATCTGGGTAAATTTAGAGTGTTGTTTCAGCAGCTTTAAAAAACTCCAAGTGGCTTGAGTTTAGATTTAAAGAATTGTAATATCTTTTGAAATAGTATCAGGTTCGTGTATAATTTCACATGCATATGAACACACAATCACAGAGATTATTTTAGGCACCTACTTGAGTGAAAAGGGCTTGCTGAGTGGTCAGAATCAAACACGCTGCACACATCTGTGGTGCTGGAAGCACCAGATGCAGGAGGAGGTGTCAGTGGCGTCCTTGGAGAGTTTGGCGCGGAGGCTGTACTTTCTGCCTCACTTTCAGGGATCCTACTGTAACTAATTTTTCTTGGCTCCTGCTGCAGAGGTGTGGGGTGCCTCATGGTTCCAGGTCTTGGGTTTGATGGACGGACACCAGGGGATTTTAGGGGATAGCTGTATTTTTTTGGCTATAGACATCAAAAAGAAAAACAAACCATAGTACTTAAAACATCGTGACTAAAAGGAAGGTTTTTCTTCAAAAGGAAAATTACAAATTACCAGTATGAAAATTTCATAATGATTTAGATCAGCACATCCTAAGTTTCAGTATTGTCACTTCATCCTGCTGAAGGTTTGGCTATAGTGATTGTTAGAAAATAAATGTATTTAACTGAATTGTAGTATAAATGCCAGAATATTAGTTACTATGGCACCTTGGCAAATGGAAATTTTAATGAAATACATTATGTAATTCCCTGGCTTGTTGTTGTTTTTGTTGGTGGTGTTTTTTTTAGATAGGGTTTCTCTGTGTGACAGACCTGGCTATCCTAGAACTCACTTTGTATACCAGATTGACCTCAGCCTTCCAAGTGCTAGGATTAAAGGCATATATTGCTACTGCCCCCCAGCAAATTCCCTGTTTTTTAAAACATACTATTTGGGGCAATTAAACCTTGTTGGAAAAGGCAGGATAGTCATTATCAATTGTGGTTCCCTGTTGTAATAGAGTGATGCCATTAGCCCATTAGAACATGGTGGTCTACTCACAGATGGACTGAGTTGCCTGCATGCTCTTTAGCCTATGTGAATATGTTAACTTTAGGGCCCTTTTCCTGCAGAATGATTATTTACAATGATGCCAGAGTGTCTCACTGGAGTTGACATATGCATTTCCAATGAACCATTGAAGGTTTACATTTAAAAGCTGTTTTGGAGTTTGAACAATCTGGTTGTGAGTCACAAACATTATATAGTTTATTGTGACCACTTTTATATTTACTTTTTGACTATGCGTGAGTGAACATATTCAGATCAGTGGGGTAATACCAAGCATAAACTTGGCCAGGTACTAGCAAATTCCTACAAAATAAAAGAACTATTAAAAGTATCTTTATTCAAACCTTGTATTACTACAGCTTAATGACCTATGGTTAAAAACTAAAAGTTGCAAACAATATAAATTTGCTAACACTTATAATTACATCATATAAGAATTTATTGAAATTAATGTTCATTTGAAACCAATTGGGATCTTCCTGATTATACTTACTGATTACTTTTAACCATCACATTTATACCTCATCCCTAAATGCTTTCACAAGAAACTAGTCTACATGACACATGGTATAGACCTATAATGGCACTGAGGATACCCCAGAGAAGCAACATCTGCAAACAGGGTGTGAAACTGAATATGTGAATGCTTACAAATCTTGGGAGAGGCTTAGGGTTCCGTGGTTCTATTTCTAGGGATTTGTTGAAAAGATAGTCTGTAAATTCTTTCTCCATGCTATTTCCCATTGGATTCAAGTTTTCAAAGAACCTCTGAAATAAATGCAAAAAAATATTAGTATTAAATATTCTTAATCAAATTTCAAATGCATGAAAATAACTTGGGATACATTCAATATAAGGAAATTTGAATTCCTGACTCTAAGTTTTGTTTCCCCTTGTTTTTCTTCTACAAAATAAACTTGGCCTGCCTGAGGTATTGTGTCAAGTTGCTCTGAGATAGGAACCCTGGCATGATTCAACTCACTTTGATATCTGACTCGACCCGTAAACAGTAAGGCTGGTTTTGGTACTGCTGGATCTCCCCTGTGATCTCTGCCACTTTCCTCCTTTTGCTGAAGTTGATGAGCTCTTTCCCGTGTCTTTTCAGGACTTCAGGGTTGCCTTCTTCTGTTTTCAAGATGTTAGTGAGATATATTCCTATGAGAGACCATGAAATTACTTCACGGGTGAAGAAGGAAAATATTTTTTTTTCTTTCTCATTAACTGAAGGGATTTATGCAGACAGTCGTAATAACCAAAGAACCAAAGCCCAGATTTCTACTCTATGAAAAACAACAAGCTCAGTGAGAATCAAGAGAAATATTTCTGTATTAAACCCTTCTTTAAAAGACTTAAATTTTATAAACAATCAAGGAAAAGGAGATCAAGTTTCAGAAACAGATTTTTTTTTTAAAAGAGAGAATAGCCAGTCTTCCATACTCCTCAAACCACCATTACATGACTTATAAAAGAAAACTATTAATGAAGAAACTTAACAGTGCCCAAAGGGGAAAACGCTCACATTAGAAGATTACATTTTCTGCCTATTCAATTCTTAGTCTCACTATTTGGAGATGATGTTTGAGCACGCTTACTTGTGGAACTACAGAGAGGGCTTCAAGTCTACCAAGCACAGGGTGACAGACAGTTTGTGAATATTTTAGGTTTAGTGCACCTGGTGATATGGATGGCCTCAAACTTGTTATGTAGCTCTCAACTTATCCTTCTGGCTTTAACTGGGATACAGGCACACATCACTGTACCTGGTTTATGTGGTAAACAGATTGACCAACTGAGCCACATCCCAGTCCCACTTCAGCTCTTATCCAGCCCTCTGGTTCCAGGAGCATTTTAGTTCCTTTTCTTCCTGGTACAAAGGTTCTAGAGCCTTTGCTGCTTCTACCTGTGCTATCTTAACATAAATTCCTTAGTTTCTCTCTGTGCCTCAGTTCTTCATCTCTAAAATGGAGATAGGAAGGTTGCTGTGAGAAACAAATGAGAGTTTATATATACATTTAGAATAGGCCTGACAAAAAAGAACGTGTCCATCAGTAATAGTTGGTGCTGCTGATGTTGGTGTCTGAATAACTTCTCTCCCAGATTACACACTGCTTCTCAGGGAACGGGTGGAACGTAAGTGTGGAAACCTGAGTTCACTGAATATGAATGTACTGCCTTTCTGCTCTGCTATAGCTTAATTACTACATTAGGTACTGTAGATAAAAATACAGTGTGTGTGTTGGGGGGGGGTGGGAGCCTGATCTCAGAGAATCCAGAACATTGAAGATGGGGTACTGCAAGTGCTGTATTAGGAAATGCTATGCTAGTAGTAATGTTTAAGATGCTGTGTGCCAGCACAAAGGAGGTATCTACCCTGTCTTGAGTTGTTGGGATTAGAAAAAAGATCATTAAATGAACTCTCAAAAATGTGGTTAAGAGTTTAATGGGTAGAATTAAGAGGGAGGGCAACGACGTGGCATGAACACATGTGAGGAAGCGTGGAAGGCAGTCTCAGATCTGGGAGTGTTTGCTGCAGTTAGAGCCTAAGGGTGTGCTTGTTGTGTGGTCACGGTGAAAGAAGACTGGAAGGATGTTAGACAGACAAGATCAGTAGTTCTAATGCTTAGCAATAGAGGAGAACTTGTAAATGATGTCACCTTTTTCTTTTCTTTTTAAAGCGTGTGTGTGTGCGCGCGTGCATGCCATGGCACAGGTGTGTGGATCTGGTTATCTTCCATGTGAGTCCTGGGGATTAAACATAGGTTGTCAGGACTAGCAGCAGGAACTACCAGCTTACCAGCTGCAAATACTGCAAGATTTGTGGGTCACATTCTTTAAAAGATGAAATGACAGAAGCCAGTAATTAAAAAGTCAGCAAGAATAAGGTAGGACTGACATCAATGCTGACCACTTTGGGCACATGATTTACTTGTCTGTTTCTCAAGGTACGTTCATCAAATAGTTACTGTTTGCTGTAATAGGCATAGTTCTTGTGCTTTCTAACAAACATGCCCTTAAGAATGTGCATATTCAATGGCAGCAGTCAAAAATCACTTCTCCAAATTAATCTCAAATTCAGATTGTGAAATGTCTTTTGTTAAGTTTAACTTTCATTCTCGGCACGGTGGTGCAGAGATATCAGGCCATCTTACAATACACAATGAGTCTCTGTCTTAAAAAAGAAAAGGAAGAAAAGGTTAACTTTTATTTAGGAGACAATGAGTAGAAATATTTCATTCTAGGATTTCTAGCCGCACTAAAAGCAATTTGCAGGCTATAATACTGTGTGTGATTGGAGATAGCAGAGGGCACAAACATTTAAGAGGTAGACCCTTTAAGAATCCAGCATCACACAAACATACATATAGGCAAAATACCAATAAGATAAAATTAAATAAAAAAGATTTAATAACTGGGACTGGAGAGATGGCTCAATGGTTACATGGACTCAAGTCTGGTTCCCAGTACCCATGTCAGATGACTCCTGACCACCTTTAACTACAGGTCTCTCTTGGCCTCTCAAAAGTACCACCCCAACACATGGTGTATGCATGTACACATCCTCCAAATAAAATTGTGAAAAAACTTTACTGGTTTAGACAAGGGCAGGGCATAGCAGGAAGGCTCTGAGCTCTGTGCTTAGGTGATGGAAGAAGCGGTACAGGGACCGTATGGGAAAACAGCATGTTCACAGGTGTCACACACAAACAAAACACTTGAATGAAGCTATAAAAATACAAGTAGCACTTTGGAAAATCTCAGGATAAAATTTGGGAAAGTATTTTATACCTGATTAATGACTAGTCAAAAGAATACAGTCATGGCAGTTATGTCAAAACTTTGATGATCAAACACTGCATCTATATAAATGTTTAAGTGTATGTGGTTTTTAATTATAAGGAACATTTGTATATGTGCACATATGATAGGGAGCTCAATATTACATACTAGCAATATTTTTTAAATTTTATTTTATTTAATGTGTATTTTGCCTGCATGTTTGTCTGTGCACCAAGTATATGCTTGGTGCCCATTAGGGCCAGAAGAGGGAGTTACAGACAGTTAGAACCACCATGTGGGTACTAGGAATTGAATCTGGGTCCCTTGGAAGAATGGTCAGTGCACTTTAACTTCTGAACCATCTCTCCAGCCCTATCATAGTTTGATTCTTTAAGAAAGAAACATATGTGTATGCATGTGTAACTCTAAATGTGACTGTTATGTCTATCAAATAGTTGTCTAAGTGACCAAATTATCTTCTGTTCTGAAATATGTTTTTTGTTTGTTTGTTTTTGTTTTTCAAGACAGAGTTTCTCTCTGTAGCTTTGGAGGCTGTCCTGGAACTTGCTCTGTAGACCAGGCTGGCCTCGAACTCACAGAGATCTGCCTGTCTCTGCCTCCTGAGTTCTGGGATTATGGTTCTTTCATTTGCTCAAAAAACATTTGTTGAATGCCTTCATGTGACACCCCCATGGTTAGGTGCTAAGAATAGACAAGATACTGTCCCAGAGTTTTGTTCCTTTGAAAGAGCAAGAAACTAAGCTACTATACTATAAGCAGAGTATTACACTGCAGAGGTATGTGCATCAAAGCGCGAGCAAACTGCCAGAGGACATGGAACCTTGAGTCACCTTTTACTGCTAGGTACTGCTAGGAAGGTACGGAAAGGCAGTGGCACAGTTAACCCCCCTCTTTGTTACTATATCACAGTGTTGTATTTTCACTATCCCCACATAACTGCAGAGTATGTAAATAGATCTGTTGACATACTGGAAATAATGTGTTGAATCACAGGGTAATGATGAAATGGTCACATTAATTTTATGGATAGCATGAAGACACTGTAAATGATTATTTAAGAAGATTATTTAAAGTATAAAATATACTTTGGATGAATATGGCAAAAAAGTAACATATATGGCATACATACAATCTACACATCAAAAAGACCACAAGCAGGCCAGATGTGGTGGTACACACCTTTAATCCCAGTATTCAGGAGGCAGAGGCAGGTGGATCTCTATAAGCTTGAGGCCAGCCTGATGTACAGAGTGAGTTCCAGGACAGCCAAGATGACATAGAGAAACCCTGTTTCAAAGAACCCAAAACCAACCAAACAAAAAACAACAGTAGAAATCAAGCAATATAAAAATATTTAGTTACAAAGCTGCAATAATAAATATGAGAAAAAAGATACATTGAATTACCACTGTTCAGGAAAATATAAGGGTTACCATTGTTGTATGCACCACAACTTAAAACTATACAGGAAAAAACAAAAAACACAAAACCACAGATAAAGATAAAGCTAGGAGAAAATTTGCCAAATAGTGAAAAAGTCAAACACAGGAGAGAGAAATTTCTACAGACCTTAAGAAGAAGGCTCACCTGTACAGAGGCAGGCAGGAGAGAGCCTGATGGGAGAGCAGAGGTGTAGCCCTGGCAGAAAGAGCATTTGCCTGTGTGTGAGCTCTGGGTTTCATCCAACACTGAAGAGAGGAAAAAGGTGTGTGTGTGTGTGTGTGTGTGTGTGTGTGTGTGTGTGTGTGTGTGTGTGTGTGTCTGTGTCAACGTGAAAAACCATTCAAAGTATATAATGTAGAGAATAAGTAACTGGAAGAAAAAGGAACCTACAAGAAGACAATGGACTGAAGTGCCAGCCTTCAGTCTCTATGCAAGTGAAGAACAGATTCGGATGGTAAAGTCAGTCTTGAAAAATGGCATTCATCCTCCAGTGCAAAGCAGGGAGACAGGGGGCTGGCAAAAATAAAACCCTAATGTGCTGAAGTTACTGCCTTAAAGGCACACACAGTGAACTTTTTTTTTAGACTGTGTTTTGTTAAATGCAAATATGGATGATATGGCCATGCTTCTTCTACTTTATTAAAATTAAACTACAAGACAAGTCACAGTGGTGTACATTTGTTATCCCAACCACCAGGAGTGCAGAGACAGGAGGACTGCAACAGTAACAAAAAACAATGAAAGGATTTCAAGACTACAAAGACATGAGTGACATAATACCTGAGGCTGTGGATGAAACTAGAAAGTGAGGCGTGTACAGGCTGAGTCCTTGTCTGAAATGAGGGTCAGAGGGCTTTGGACTCGTTCTGCATTGGAGTGGTTATGGGTATCCTGCGTTGGGGTCCAGGTCTAAAGAAAAAATTCATTTATAGACCACACCTGCCTTGCATCTATGGCCAAAATGTTTTGTCTGTTTTCGGATAGGGCCTTGCTCTGTGGCCCAGGCTGGACTCAGTTCATGCTTCCATGATGTCAGCTGAAGGGTGTCTTATGGTATTTGCAACGGACTGATGTTTTGGCTGTGACCCCTGAAACAAGGTCAGATACAGGATTCCTACTGTGGTGTCACCTCAACAAGTTTCAGTTTTTTGAAAATTGTAGATTTTTACATTAGGATGCTCAATCTATACTAGATTTGATTTTTTTTTAAAGTCCTAATGGAAAGATTCTGAAGGGATTCAGATTCTGTTTTCTATATTCATTTAGTAAAATGTCTTGTTTTATCCAGAAACACAATAAAAATTAGGAAGAAATACTTACCAAAGAAAGGCACACACGGTGGATTAATAGACCTGAGTTTTGCCAAGTATTTCTTATAGTGATCTTCACTCAACTCATGAGCTTCTTCTAAAATTCTCTTTTGTCTACTTGGTATTTGCTATAATAGTAATAAAAAATTAGGAGGCCTCAGTTGCAAATCTTGCTAAAAAAAATACCCAACTAACAATTATGGCCCATTCATACCAGTCTGACTCCAACTAGTACTGTTTTTTATTTTTTAATTTATATATTTTTGAGACAAGTTCTCATTCTGTATTCCTAGCCAGGTTGGACTCACTATGTAGGTCAGGTTGGCCTCAAACTTATGGAGATCCACCTGCCTCTCCCTCCCAAGAAGTGAATTAAAGGCCTGAGTGACCACACCTGGTTAATGCTATTTTTCTTTTCTCTTCCTCTTTTAAAGACTTTTTCACACACTTTAGCATAAACTTAAAAATGTGCATGATATAGTGTATTTTGCCATCCCTCATACAATTTATGTGAATGTTTGAGTATTACAAATAAACTGCTGAATATAGGTCAGTGAGCTTGCTCAGCAGACAGAGATGCTTGCTGCACAAGCCTGGTTATCTAAGTGACCCCAGAACACATTGAGGTGGTAGGAGGTAACTACTCCACAAAATCCTTTTGACCTCCACATGTGCCTATGGTGCGTGCACACACACAAAATTAATAAAATAAAATGATGGATGTTTTTACTTCTAAAAAGTTGGAACCTATGAATGAGAACACTTAATTTTAAAAGAGAAACCATTCATTATGAAATTTAGTTAAGTGTATATTTTAACCTATTATTGGAAAAACAAATGAGACATTTCTGGTTTTATATACACAATGGTAGACTTAAGTATGATTTTTTTCACACATGTCTGCAATGCATTTTGATCACATTCACCCCAGTCTTTTCTGGCCAGTCTTCCGCTCCCTGGAACCCTGCTGCCTCCCAGTCTTCCCTTCCACTGTCATACCCCCACCCCCAGTTAATCAGGGTAGCTTACAGGAGCATGGACAAAAGGTCATTTATGGAACACAGGACCATACCACTGACAAAGATGTTCCTTTTTCTCTCAGCAACCACTAACTACAGTTGTAGCCTGTGGAAGAAAGGGGGCCTTCTAATCCCCTCCCCAGCTACTGAGACAGCATGCTGATGGCCCAGTTTAGTACAGGTCTTATGCTGATAATTATGGCTGCTGAGAGTATCATGGCCACCCATATCATACATACAAATTTCTATGTTAAACCAAGCAGTGGAAGTTCCTTTGAAAATATATGTACAAACCTACCTCAAATGTGTGGTCTAGCCTGTAAACAGGGGATGAGTTCATAGCACTGACAACCTCAAGGACACCATTGAAGTTGTTCAGTTCTTGAAAGACTTGTAGAATCTCAATTATCCGACTCACCACAGCTACTCTTTCTTCTAAGTTTTCTGTTTCTACAATACATCTAGAAATGGAAAAGAATTAAAAGTTTGAATTTTCCTCAAAAGCTATGAGTCAAAAAGTTTTAAGGAAAACAATGATCTAGAGACTGCATGTGTGGCTTCTGTGTGACTACAGAAAAGACATATACAGTGATGTACCGGATTGATAGCAGACTGCAGAGAAAGGCAGGCTTCTTGTGGGGTATTTTACTCTTTCTGACATCCAGACTGCTATAGTCAGACAACCATTCCCGATAGATTTAGCACATCCTCTATTGTCAGTATTAGAATGACCAATGTCTTGTTGAGTGTGTGAGTCACTTAGGTGTGTTCTAGGCATGTTTATTCTAGCACTATTGTTTTCTTTGTGTGTGTGTATGTGTGTACACAATCTTATTCCAGTGATTCATTTCTGTGTTTGCCTGAACAAAGTCTTGTTATGTAGCCCAAGATGTCCTGGAACTGGTAATATTTCTGCCTCAGCCTTCTGAGTGGTGGCTTGTAATTCATATCCAGCTTAATTTTGTTTTCTGATATATAGAGATATTGGCAGGGTTTGCAGAAATAGCTCTTAAGATAACCATTGATATTTTGCAAAGTCAATTGAAATATTTTACTAAAATTAAAAAAAATAATGTCAAGGGAGGTAGCTCAGTGGTATGGTGTATACCATGTATTAGGCTCTAGGTTCAAATTTAAAATGTAAAGCCACAGATTATATTATTTTTTGATGAGGCTAACATAATACTAAGAATAAAACCACTATACTTGAAACCATCAAAATAAACAGCTTATTATCAAATTAAACAGAACATGTGTATATGTTTAAAGAATTCTACACAAATATATTCTGGCTAGTTTATTAGGTGAACAGTTTGAAACAGGTGATACAGTGTGACACGTCTTTAACCGGGGACTCCCCAGTACACAAGAAGGTCACCGGCAGTGCTTTCCATCCCGCCTCTACCAGCAGAAGCCGTAGCTCAGCAATGAGGTCAACAAAAAAGGGAATGGCTTTATCTTAAACAGCCCATTGAAAAAGCCCAAGGACAGTGCTCTATATCTCATTAGTTATATGTCTCTTTCTCAGTATGACACATTACAGTTACTATGATGAGAAAGATCTTCTGTAAATTAAAGTATTTCAGCTTTAAGATGAAATAAGGGAGCAACATTCTGGGAGAAAATTCTAGTTTTACTTCTTAGAGGTATATCGTCTCTGACAACATAAACAAACTCTTGCTTTGGTGTGACCTGACTGCTTCTGGCCTTCATCCAGGCTGTTTGATATGCCTGCTACTTGTTCCTATAATTCCAATATGATCTGTGGAGATCACATCTTTACAAAATATATTTTAATATACAAAGCTAAGATCTCTGGTTCCTAGTAATAAAAATGCATCCTCTTTTTGTTCTATCATAGTACTCCAGTGAAAATTACTAAAACAAACCATATCCACCCACTCTAACTCGTAGTCCATAGTCTCTGGAGATGACCCTAAGAACAAGCTGCAAAGGAGACACCGTCTGTTTAGGAACATCTATGAAATGATTCCATACAAGAGAGAGTGGGCTATTTCAACTCAGATTGCTCCATCTGCCTTCCTTTCTCTGGAGAATCCATTCCAGATGCTGCGGTTACAGATTTGGATCTTCAGGGAGAGGGGTGGGAGGCTGGATGGGCTCCTACCCTGAGGAGCAGGACTTCATTATCCTAGTGCAGTTTAGTACTTATTTACTTTATAATACTTATTTATTTAATATTTCAGCTGTGAAGACCCTCTCTTTTTGCTAAACTTATGGGCGGAGGCTTAGGCTCTGAATAAACAGCTTTTTGGCTCCTTATACAGTGTTTCCATGCCAAGAGGCGGGTTAAGAGGATCCAAGGCCATAGTACTATTCCTGCCACTTCACTCTAGCTCTTCGACTACAAGAGAGCTTGTCATTTTCTCCTCCCCAGAACTATTTCACATAGATAGCTCCTAATCATTTACAACAAAGAGTGGAGGAGAGTTTAAATCTAAAAGTGTGTCCAGGAAAAATGGAAGTTGTCACGAAAGGCACATGGGAAAAAATCTGGAGAAACATGGAAGGTGTAGCTTCAACTGTGTATTATCTAGTTTCTTCAAGAGAAGCAGGAAGACAGTTGGAGAGGGAACCTCCCGGGGTTAGAACAGTATCAGTTGACTAAGGACCTTAGAAACTTTACCTTCTAAGAAGCCAGAATTTCATTGGCTTATTCAGCACAGCAATTTGTACTACTAGGGAACTGTTCACAACAAAAGAGTGGACATGGCAATTAGTAGTTGAACATTTAACAGCTTGGGGTGTGCAATCTTGGAGGGAGTGGATATAAGCCATATCGGAACCCATCTTCTCAAAGTGACTATGGTCATCCCCAAATCTAACCTGCTTAGTTCACTTCACATTTAAGTAGCAAAGAAAAAGCTGTAGAAGGCAGAGGGCAGTTCTGAAAGTTGCTATATCCATTATGAAGCATACCTAAACAGCAGAATAGAAGCATGGAGCAGACACTCCCTGCGTGAGTGACTAGATGCCAAATTAACAGAAAGATTTCAGAGTTATTGTCAAAGATTATAGTCAAAGAACTATAGGACAGCAGTTAAGAGGATACGGAAGAAAAAAATAAAATAAAGATGATAAGGAAGGCTCTAGGAAGAGTATCGGGAAAGCAGTAAAAATTATAAAAAGAATCAAATGGAATCTTGGAAATGAAAAACTGGAGAGTTCAACAGTAGATGTGCACAAAAGAATAAAAATTAGCTAATCTGAAGATAGAGCTATCGTCCAAAACTAAAGGCAAAAAATTTAAACAACAACAATAAACTCTGCACAACTGTTGCTAGTTGACTCACTGTACAAGAACACTAAAGGAAGTTTTCTTCAGGCTGAAAACAAGTGACCCCAGATGGCAATTTGAAACTACACAAAGAACATCAGTAAAGGTAATTATAATAAAAATACTCTAAATGCCCATTTCTGCCTCATTTTTTTCCCTCTTACCTGGTTTAAAAAGCAACTGATTTAATGTATATGAATGTACTTTTTGGTCTATAGTACAAAAATGTAATATCCTGCTAACAGCAGAACAAAAAAAGAGGATGAAAAAGCCATTCAAGGTTAAGATGGTGACAGCAGATGGCAAAGTAAAAACTGTAAGGATGCACTGCTGGGTCTGCACATGAATAAGGTGTACCCAAGCTGCAAAAAGGGAGGAAGAAACTAGAGACCCACATGGGAGGAGGACATCTATCTGCTGGAATGAAGCTGTGTCAATCTGCAGCCCACCCAAGCAACCATTAGAAACTCAAATATTAGTGAAACTAATATTCACCATCAGGAAAATATTCAGTGTATAGAAAAGGAACTAAAAGAACAAAAGACATGTGACATACAGAAGGAAAACAGTCCCAGAATTCATAACCTAGCCATTGCTACAAACAAAAATGTCAAGCACTTACTTTTCAAACCACAGAGTGAGGTTAGTAGTGTGTCGTATCATTTTCAGAAGGTTGGGAGAGTTAATTTCTTTATCTTCTTTTGTCCACACACTTCCAACTAATTCTGATGGCTGCACAGCTCTAAAATTATCAACATAAAACGCCACATCACACTTCCCCTTTAGTATACTTGTTTCATAACAAAACCTAAACTACGTTTGTAAGTACTCCTCTTCCACCAATGGAAAGTTCATGAAAACAAGCTGAATATTTACATTTTTTTCTTTTATGTTTTCAGATTTAAAATATTTTGGTAGATACTTCTGCATAATGTTTTTCCTAGCACTTATAAATATCACTCAGGATGGTAAGGAGGGTAATGTATTTAAATACATTCTAATAAGTAACCAATGAGGGAACACAAGTACTAACATTCATTTTTTCTTTGTTTTGTTGGTGTTTGTTTGTTTTGCTCTTAAAGTAGGTAGAAAAGAAAAACCATCCTGCAAAAAAATAGTTTCTGAAAATGAAATGTAAAAATCTAACATTAACATTTGGAGATCATGGTAACTTAAGATTGGAGGATTTATAAATTTAGCTCCTTTCTCATTTAGTGATTAATACTTTTGAGAATCACGTTTTTCAGATAGTTTCATCGATGAACAATATTAACTCTACAGGGCTATACCCTGCTGTGACTTAACTTTAACACAGTAGTAGCTGTCTGTGGTACTATGGGGAAATTACAGCAGTGGTTCTATGTTCCTGTGCTCTGCTCAGCCTGTGCTATGCCTTGGGTATAAACTGGAAACCTCATAGTCCTACAAGTTAGTATGGTCTTTGGCCTCACTTTCCTTGTAGGAAACAAGCAGAAGATGAGAGTTAAACAAGGAAACTTAAGTTAACAATTAGTACTGCCATGATTTGAACCGAGCCTACCAAGAGGGGGTAACTGCAGAAAGAGCACAAAGTTAAGTAGATCAAGGGCGATCACTATCTGCTATGCCTTAATGCTACAAATACATCATATACTGTCTCATTTACATCTCAAGACAACCCTAAAAGGCAGAAAAGGTCTTCCATTTTAAAAATGAACTCTTGAAATAACTTCTCAGCTTGAATGTTGAACAACATACCGGTATAGATCTGATTCAAGCAAAGTGAGTTGTCGAGCAATTTCTATTGGGTGTAAGGTGAGCAAGTCAAAAGTCTCTATGTGCCCAGGTCTGCTTATGTGCCACTCAACTGTGGGAGGCGAACTCTGAAATGTAATATTATGACCTGGGCCATTGTCTCTTGCAATTTTTTTCCTTTGGATTATCTTAGTGATGGATTCCACCCATTTTTTCATTGCTTTACCTGAAAATACATTTTAACAAACATTTAAATCCTCTTTAATACTTTATTTTTAAATATGTTTAAAATAATACAAGTGATACATGAATAAATCATTGTTATAAAATCAAATGTGCAAAGTAAATACTAAGAGTTCCCTCCCCCATCTTCTCATCCTTCTCCAGACAGGCAATCATTGTTAATTACTTGGCATGTATCTAGACCTTTCCTAAATGAATGTAAATGTAAAAGGTAATTTGATTTTTTTACTTCCAACACTTTGAACCTTAGTATAAAATACTATTTTTTATAATACTTCCATACAAGGTATATTCCATACAAACTGAAAGATTAATAAAAGTAAATTACACAATTTACATGTCTAATTATATTGTATTTTATAACCCAATTATGAGGACTGATGGATCATATTAGTCTTATGCTTGATGTGGCTTCTCTTGTACTGTACATGAAAGTAATCTATTTAACCCTTAAAGTCACACAATTGCAGTAAACTTTGTGATAATGAACCCTAATTTCTCATGAATTTACTGAAGTCTAAAGAACCAAAATTATGTGTCGGCTAGTGGTGATGGTAAAAAGTAGCCTATCAGTGTAATATGCTACTTATTAATCTCTTTGATTTGTTCCATTTACCTAACCATGCATCTTTATCAGTGGTGCTACAGTGTTAAAAAAACTTCCAGCATGTACCGTAGGTAGCACATAGTTTCAGTTAAGTGGTCTAGCTTAAACTGAGACCTAAAAGACCCAGTTCTAAAACAGATAAAAGTATGCTGGGTCAGCAGGATCACTGCTGAGCAATTTACAAGTCTCAATAATGGGTTTTTGCTATTGTTTTGTTTTTTGAGACAGGGTCTCACTACTGTAGTCCTGGCTGTCCTGAAACCCAGAGAGATCCACCTGCCTCTGCCTGAGTGCTGGGATCAAAGGTGTGTGCCACCACATCCAGTCTAAATGATGTTTGATGAGAAAGTTTAACATTTTCAAATGAGCTATAATGTATCAATTGAGGGTAATCATATTGGTAATTTTATGACATATGCAAGTAGGAAATTAAAAACATACCTCTTACTGTTCCAATAAATTCCTCCATTCTTTGCAAAAGGTCTGCATCTCTTTCAAAGTCATAAAAATGGTGCTCCACCCAGTGCCGACACACATTTAACACTCTGTGGCATTAACACAACTGGATTACATGGGATCTCACACTGAGCGTACAAGAAACAAGAGCAGCTCCTACCAATAAACAATCTACTAAAGCTTGTAACTCAGAGAAGACTGAGTTAACCTACTTGGTTTGCCTCCCTTCACCTTACTTGGGAACAGTTCTTGGACCTTCCCACTTTGAAACACACATGGGAAGCTGTGGTTTCCACACCCTCACACCCTTGCTACTTACCGAAGCTGGACAGGCTGAATATACTCCTTTCTAAACCTCTTCAGCTCTGCACTCAGCGGCTGGTCTCCATTCGCTAGAGCTATGCGATCAGCTTCTGTTGGCTCAGGCTCTGGAATTTCAAATCTACCATGAAACAGAAAAAAAATTAATGAAAAAATTATATCAAATCCAGATTATAGCTAAGAGAATACTGTAAAAAATTACTACAGATATATAAGGCTTTTATAATGTAAAGGCTGATTATACTTTTAAAAAAGAAGTTAATATTGCCAACAGAGATAAAACTAACTAGAAGCAAAATAAAAACACACATAAAGTCTAAAACAAATGGGGCTAATATTAACTTTTGGTTTGTAGATTACTCTAAATCAGTAGCCATAATTTTAAAGGTGTCTAGTGCTTGAAACCTGATTGCCCTTTGGGTAGGTGAAAAACATTTTCCTTGATAAAAGTGTCTGCTCACTGATGAAATCCATTTTATTCAATATGTAGTATATTTGAAAATTTGTTTAGAACTTGTGAAGCATTAAAATCTGAATTTCTAGTGTGTCGGTATTTTAAAGGCATGGTTTCATGTAGTTCAGGGTAGCCTTGAATTCTCCATGTATAGTAAAAGATGACTGTGAACTCTGATCCTCCTGCCTCTACCTCCCAAATTCTTAGATTATAGGCGTATGTCCAGCTTAGAGTCTAAATCATACATATTTATATATTATATAGTTCTTTAAATTTGGACTGGGAATACTGCTTAGATTGAACCAAAGGCCCATTGCTCAATCCCAGTACAGCCTAAACCCTAAAAAACTGGAATTTTTAAATAATAAATCAATGGAAAAAAAAGAAATCTATGCAAATAATCAAAGTTAGCATGTTTTTGTAAACCCAGTAGTAGTTTAAAGTTCAACTACAGTTACACTTATTGACACATTTACAGGAAATATGTAACTTAATCCTTTCCAAATCAAAGAATTCAGACATTTAAAATGGACAGACCGTTCTATTATAAGACTCAGTAATTCTTGAGGTTTGCAAAAGGATCTGTATGTTGTAAGAAATGTCCGAACAAAATTGGGATCTGAAAAGGAAAAGGAACAGTATTAAAGTCTCAGATAAACAATGATTAAAACTATTATTTTCAGTTTCAAAAGAGATCAAAGATTCAAGTCTTAAAAGTCCCCAGATAGTGCTAGGCGGTGGTGGCACACACCTTTAATCCCAGCTTTCAGGAGGCAAAGGCAGGCAGATCTCTGTGGCTGTGAGGTCAGCCTGGTCTACAGAGTGAATTCCAGGACAGGCTCCAAAGCTACACAGAGAAACACTTTCTTGAAAAAACAAAAAGAAAATCAAAGCAAAACAAACAAACAAAAAAAAGTCCCCAGATGTTTTACCCATATAGACGGCTTTGAACTTTAATGCATCTATAGCTTCGGTGTCTCCTAAAGTAGTGGCTTTAGAAAAACAAAAACAAAACAAAACACTGATTGTAAGCTGATTTATTTTCCTGTCTCAAAGGAACGTGCAATGGAAAAAGCAAGGACAGGGACTTGAACCAGGTTCCCTTCTGCTGCCAGGACCTGTTGGGTCATCTACCTACTAGAGATGGCAATAATAATAACCTATCCATTTCCTGGCATCACTTTAATTAACTATGTTTGCTAACTTCCTATCAATCATGTTAACAGAGCAAAGAAGTAGAAACCAAATCTTACAGAGCAGTAGGGTTAGCTAAGTAGATAATGGTCTCAATTGCCAGAGACCTTATTTTTAACTGCTAAAAAAGGGTCAAACCCTAGAGGGTTTTATAGCTTAGAAAGCTTAAAAAAAAAAAAAAAAAAAGACCATGAAATGGCTCAGCGGGTAAATGTCCTCTGTCTGTCGTACAAGCTTAGGGTCACTGCATCCCAAAAGTTGTGTGTCCCCCTCCCCCAGCCACACTGCTTGTTTGTGCCACACTCATAAACAAGTGTGAACAGAGATAATAAAAACATAGTTCTAAAAAATCTTGTTTTTAATCTTCCCAGGCCTGTCATCTGATGTAGTTACAGTAAAGGTTCAGTCACACAAGCAGGAGGCGCCAGCCCTTCTTCAAAGGCCTCCGTTGGTCTTTCTTTGATAGTACTCTCCCAGGTTAGGGTGGTAAAGATGCAGGCCACTGTTTTGTGCATAAAGATGGGACGTCCCGATCTCAACAGTCACTCTCTGGTGTGATGGCATGGGCCTTTAATCTCAGGGAAAGGCAGAGGCAGAGGCAGGCATATCTCTGGAGTTTGAGGCCAGCTAGAGATACATAGCAAGACAGTCTCAAAAACCCACTCACTTCTACAACTCAGATTTCACTAAGGCCCACCCATACTTAGTCCTGAGTCTTTAAAATGAAGGGAGAACATCAGTTAACTTGAGTCTTGTGAGAACATTTCCCTGTTTACATTATAGACACGGGTAAATTCTGATTGTAAATTCACCAATGGTAGTAAATACCTATACATTATTGATCAAAGTTTTATAGAAGGCTTTTATTAGGACAAGGCTTAGTGAAATTAGTATGTATTTAGAAAAAATTTACTTAGGTTGATTCTAAGAAGCATCCTAAATTTAGCTTTCATATATCACAGTGACTTTTGACCTAAAACTCAAGTTCATTGATTTATGACAAGATAGAACTCTGATCCTATCTGTTGGTATACACCTAGCATCAAATAGCCCTGAGTTGAAAATTAATTTTTTTCAATTTGAAGAAAAATTTATAGAACAAAAGGATATTATTGTGGGAGTCTTTTGCTTTGAGGCAGGGCCTAGCTAGATATCTAGGCTGGTTGGCCTTTAACTCACAATCTTATTTTAGACTCCCAAATGCTGGGATTCCTTGGTTTTATTTAGTGTTCCTTCTTTTAGCTTATCTCCTAAAGCTAGAGTGGGTTGCTGATAAAAGTATTTTAAATACATAAAATCTTTTAATAATTTCCTTTTTGTTGGTATTTTATTGTCTTCAGTTACAGAGATCCTCAGTTAAAGACTAATGTCTCATCCAGAAGAAAAGATTTAAAAACAGAAGGCTGTACGAGATTTTAGAACTGAGATATTTATCGGTTCCATCACAACCCTCCCTTCCAAGAACCTTCTTCCTGTTCTGCAAATCTATTTGTAAGGTGAGGCTTCTCAAAATAGCACGCGTTCAGGAAGCAACAGCAGCAGCCACAGTTGGGACGCTCGGCTGTCCCTGCTGGACAGAGCTGTGCACCTAGATGAGGCCTTTGAGCATCTCGGGGCTGTGTTCCGCATTCAGAGTGTGGACCCACTTCTCAAAACACAGGTTTATTTCAGGCTGATGATCTAATGTCCATATTCAGAACCACTTCTTATCAATGCCACCCACCATCAGGCTAAAAGCTGTGGTTTCAGACAGAAGAGATCAAGTGCTAAGTGAATTAAAGTATGTTTTAAGGAAAGTATGCCTTTTTTTTTAAAGTGGGGTATTCATCATCTTAGGCCAAATCTATGTTAGCCGTGTCTTTACTTCAGTAACCGATAGTGACACTGGGAAAGTCCTGCTGTGCCCCATCCCTACCACATCAGTCCCTGATGCCCATTATGTGACAGCCCCAAGGGAGTGTCCACTGCATCTGTGTCACACAGTTCTGGGAGCTGAGTAGGTCAGGAGAACTACAGAAGAGAAACTGTGATTCCTGCTCCGGTGCTCTTTTCTTCTAAGCCAGACACCTCCCCAGTTAAAAGGATTCCCATAAGCCTTACCTAGCTGTGAAATCTAAAACTACAGACTTTACCAATTATGGTGTCACCATAGAAGTTCACATAAACGATCAAATCAGGATGCAGTTTAACTGCTAAGCTGGCAGAGGCACCAGAAGTCACTGGAAATGAGCAATCTAGTCAGGAGTAGCAGTTGTCCTTCCTATGACACTGTTCAGAGAGGGGCGTAAATACCCGCAGTAACCACCACTGCAGTGTGCTCTAACGTGACGTGACTGAAGCTTAGTTTGTTCTTATCCTGGCTGGAAGCTGAAAGTAGCCTTGCCAAAGAGGGAGGGTGGGGTGTATGTGGAAGAACTAAGATACTCCAGGAAAACTGGCAAAAGCTTGAGTACTAAAAAACAAAACAAAAACCCTGAAAGCTACTATAGTCCCATGCTGATTTTAATACATACACAAAATTTCTAATCTAAAGCAATGAAAAATTCCTAATAAACAACAAACTTGTTTTGAGAGGATTTACCTGTATTTTGAAATTTTATACAGAAAAGCTATATATACATATTCCAGAAGCTATTTTTGTTTCTGTTGCATTGATTTCTGCATCTCAATGATTCAAACATGTGCTATGCCATATCAATCACAGGAGACCTTTATGACAATGCAAAGGATTAAATTAATTTGATATAAAAACCCTCAGCAATAAGGGCAGATTATAAAACTTTGTAAGAAAATAAAGCAACTCCTTCCATTTAACAGGAAATGAATTAATACACTGCTGTTTGCTTGTGGCAGTTACATACCTACTCATTCTGCAAAAATGTCTTAGAAACAGGAGACAAAACAAAAACAAGAACATCAGGCAGAATTTGGCTTTATGGTACAAGCACAACAAATACTCACTAAAAGAAATGTAGCCCAATTTGATATTGTCTTCCAGTGTGTAAGCAAAGATTACTCTAGAAATGTGTTACTCAGCCAGCCCTCTACCAGAGGGAACATTCTTCTTACCTTTTTCCTGCCATGTACATAGCTTTCTCCTCTCTATACCTTCTTTTTATAAATACCTACTGAGTCCAGTCTCAAGTTCTTGGCATAGGTCCACGTTTCTTCAACTATAAGCTGTAGTCATTTTTATGTTTTTGTTCTGTTTTCTGAGATGGGGTCTCATGGATCTCAGAGTGACCCAGAACTTACTATGTACTAAGGATGACTTTGAACATCTAACCCTCCTGCCTTTCCCCCTCCTGAGTGTTACAGGCAGAGATGACAGGCATGTGCCAACATCAGTCTATGAGGTGCATGCTGGCGATTGAACCACAGCCTCATGCATGCTGGGCAAGCATCATGAGATACATCCCCAAGCCATGGTTACTACTTTTTTTTTTTTTTTTTTTGCTGACCTCCTAGCTGACCCCATCCTGGACAATTCTTTGTTATTTGGTGTACAATTTTTTCAAAATCATCTGAACTTCAACTATATCTGTATCTAGTATTCAGAATATAGCATATTAGATCTTAGGTCATCAACCCTCCTTCTGCCTCTAACACTTGACATTTAGTATGGCAAGTTCATAAGACATGAAATATTTAGTATATTACACTTATATTTATGAAGAACACCCTTCCCCCATCTACCATAGTGGAACACTGTTAATCAGGATGTCTGCTCATGTGATAATACTCCCTTTTAATACAGCCATTTAAAACCTCAAGAAACAATAAGCTCCTCAGCAAGGACTTATAAACAATCACTTTTGAATTCCTTAAGAAAAGGAAACAGACGCTATGCTGACGCACAAACACTTAAAAAAATCAGGGTTTAAAAATAGAAGAGCACTGCCCTATAGATCAAAAATTGTTCGGAGACTTTAAAAGTTAACCGCCTAAACTGAACTTATGCAAGACACAGACTCAAATCTAATGCAGAGTTCTGAACATTTGGTATGTGAGTGCAAAGACAGCTGTAAGCACATCAAAGGAAAAGATCTTATGTTTCCTCAATTTCATCTTCTACAAAGGGAAACAGTTTTCCACACTTCAGTGTGTTCTGGGTTATTACCCTGGCTTCAGTGTCATCCCGTTTTCTACCATACGTGGCCAGACTAATAAGACTGCCATCAACCATCTTTGTACCGGTGTTGCTTGATCTGATAATTAGTTGCATTGTATTGTCTACGGCAACTCTATGGAATGAACTTCCTGCTCTCCCTTCCCTTGTGACACTGCTTTGTGATTACTCTGCCTCTCTGTATCCCTGCCAAATGTAAAATAACCCACCCAACTGAGTAGGTTTCCTTCCAGAATTCAGGGTGAAGTCCCCCAAATCTGCTATGTCCAGAAACACTGGGAATGAAACAAAAGCTAAAATTAGACTCTGCATCAGACTGTCATCATTCATGTATGCTACCCATATTTTAACTCACCTAAGACATAAAAGTCTTTTTCCACAAAGCTGTCCGTTTACAGAACAAGCTATTCCGACAGCCCAATGACTGAGCTTTGCCAGGAAAAAAACCTGGTAGCAACACCTGTAACCAACCCCAGCACAGGGGTGGGGGTGGGAGTGGGGGAAGGTGGGTGGGGGCTGATGAACTTAACGCTAGCCTGGCTACCTGTCCTCCCTCAAGAACACAGAAAAGTAAATAAAACAACAGAGCTAAGGGTTCAGGCCAGTGATGGAATAGTTTTCATGCCCAGAAGTAAGAGATGGACAGGATCTAACTGCATGCAAATCTATACATCACAATACTCAGAACTTGTTACCTATTTCAATGAAAACAAAACTGTATCTCTTCATAGTATACCTGTATTTGCTCCAAAAGAATAACCATCATGAGTAATTAAAACTCCATTTGTTTCTATTATTAATCATGTATAACTTTTAAAATGTTTGTTAAAGTAACTTTTAAAAACTCAGTTTGAAAGTGTGTCATGGATATATATTCGGCTGATAAAGCAATTAATTTCTACACTTCGTTTTGTAATTAACTGATAGATTTCTAGCAAATTAAACAACCCTTAGGAGTCCTGGCTTTTGTTTATAAACTGAGGGTACGGACAGCTCCTGGCACTACAGGTGTATAGCCCTCATTTGTAATTTATTGTTGTAACATTTGAGAAACCTGACTTAAGTCTTCTATAAGCCAGTTTTCTCTTCTGTTTTTCAGTCTGTGTGAACAACCTGTAATAATCTAAGTGTCATTCCCTCATGTGTGATAGACAGTGCCTTTCACTAATAATAAAAGTGAGTCACTAAGTTTAGCCTTTGTATCAGTAGAGACACACCTGTACTTTAAGCTCTCCAACAGAAACATCCAATAGCCAACTAACCACATCAAAACCCCTCTTTTTATTTGGGAAGACTGATTAAAAGGAAAAAACCAGACTAATGTTTACATCAAGACAAGTGATAACTGTATCTGCTGTCACTGTAGAAAGAACTTACTATACATTCAGCTGGAGGAGAACTGACAATACAAATTCCCGAGTGTGTATCAAAAGCACATTCTACACTGACCGTAATCAGTCAAAAATGGATTCTGTAGAGTAGTTGATCTATTAAAAAAAATTCTATACTGCAAGTAAAACCTACAGTAAACAGACATCAAAGAATGCCTAGTAAACAAGTAACAGTGATTTCATGTACTTCAAGCTCAAAACTCATCAAAGTTGCTGGTGGATTCTAGTTATACCTGTCACATATGAGACAAAACATTCAATTAAATTTCCAACCAGGACAAAAAAAATGTCAAAAAGCATAGTTATACTTTTTAAAAAATACTGGACTTAAAATTTTTAACTTTAAAAAGGAAAACAGAAACGGGAGAGAACACCGAGGTTGAGAGTACTGGCTGTTCTTCCAGAAGACCTGGGTTTGCTTCCTATCTATACCTCCAGTGCCAGGGGATCTGACACTTTCCGGACTCCACTAGCACTGTGCACACATGCTGCATAGACATACACATAAAACTTAAAAAATATTTAAAGAAGAAAATTTCAGTAAACTTAACTTCATCAAAATTGTATAAAGTTAGAAATTTAAGTGTTATATTAGGAAGGACCATAGAAAACATTACTTTATGCAAAAGCTATAAGTTGACAATAGTCATCAGACATATATGATAATATCACATAAGGAATGAAAGCTGCTGGATGGAACAAAACCCATTAGCTTATTGAAATATGCTTAAAAGAATACTCATTCAAAAAATAAGATTTGTCAAAATAAGATGTAGTTCCCCAGAAAACAAATATTTAATATTAGCTTATAACTGCTAATCACAAATTAATTCTGTTAAATACACCAGTTAAAAATGTACAGAAATTTTATAAAACAGATTGCAGATTTCAGAATACAGAAATCAGTAACAACTGACTTTTACTAGAAAAAAGAACAGCTTGCTCTACTGACTGCTGTAAGGAAAATTAAACTGTCCTTAATGTCCAGAGGTACATAGTCTAAGAATGCCACCCCTCAAAAGCTACTCAGGGACACAAGGTAGTCCCCTTGACACTCAAGTATTAGCATTCAATTCAAATGTTGATTTTTCACTGTGACTTATATAGATTTTGCTTTGTCCTTTTCTTAAAAAACAAACAAACAGTTGAGGATAAAATGAATAGGTTTTAAATTCACAAGGATTTAAAAACAAAGACAATGGGCAAGATAAACAACTTGAACTTCTGTTGCCAAAAATTAATGAGTATTTTAAATCCACAAATCTTGGGTTAACGAAGTATTTTTTACAATTTTGTAATTTTGTTGTTATTGTTGTTTTCTTTGCTTTTTCCTTTTCTTGAGACAGGGTTTCTTGTGTACCCCTGACTGTCCTGGAACTCACTCTGTAGATCAGGTTGGCCTTGAGCTCACAGAGATCCACCTGCCTCTGCCTTCTGAGCACTGGAACGAAAGGTGTGCGCCACCACTGCCTGGTTATAATTTTAAACAGTATACAGAAGGCTGATGAAGATCAAGTAAATAGATAGGTCATAATAATTACTGAAAACTATAACTCTTAAAAACAGCTTTATATATGTAGAGAGGTAACCTATTTATCTTTTATATAACTACAGAGCAGCTTAAATTTTCTTTTTATATATTTAAATAAATATATATATTTAATTTTTGAGTAACAAACACACTGATATAGAAGTGTGTAGGTGACAATTTATAGGGAAGCTGTAACCCCAGATGAGGCTACTGTGCACTACCACTGAGTAAGTCGTGTTCAAAGAAGCCAAATCAGGGTAAAACTCACCTTTGGTAAATGCTGTCAACTTACTATGGAGAAGGCCTCAAAGATTTACCTGTTAAGAGTCCAAATAACTGAAAGCAAAACTAAACGCTTATCTATCCTAGGTAATGGCACACTCATAAAAATACTATTCAAATTTAATTTCTTTCCCTTTGGTAGTTCCCAGCCATATAGAGTTCTGCTTGTATATTGAATAAACTGAATAGAAAAACATTGTTAAATGCTATTCAGTTTTACTTACGTGAATAAACAAATTATTATTTTAAAAGCCTAATCTTACCAGCACCAAGACACCTCCAAAGGAAACAGGGGACCCACTTATAAAACTTAAGAAAAAAATGGGAAAATATTTTTCTCAGAAATATTACCTAAAAATAGGAATGTATTTAAATGAGAAATATGGGGATAAAGGTTAATTTTCACATTTAGGTATTCAAAAATACCATACTATGAGTTATATTGATTTTAAATCACACATGTCTTTTTAAAGAAATAAAAATATTCTTTGAAAATTTACATTTATATTTAAATAGCTTGCACATTCAGTATTTCATTTATGCTTTTTAATAACACACTAAGGTAGCTATTCTGACGTTAATTTTTGAGGTGAGAAACTGTGGTTCTGAGACATGACGGGACAGAGTGTGGTTTCAGGGCTGTCTACTCCACCACAGTGCTAAGATGGGACAAGGAACGGATGTCCCACTGTGTCTGGACAACTCATATGTGCCCCTTACCTCTCAACCACTGTGTGTAAGCCTGCCTAGCATCTTTCTAGGTTGTTCAGACTGGTCTGTCTTTAAAACCTGCTAAGATAAAACTGTTTAAATAACACTAAGAACAAAATACTGGAAATGGTTTCCAGAATTCCTTAATAGATACAGGAATGGAGACTAATAAAAGTATATATTTTTGCCATCAGCACAATTTTGAGATGGGTGAATATTTAAAATTTCACATAGTTTGTAACTCAGTTATAGAACAAGAAAAGCAGTACACGCGGCAGAAACTTTGATACACTCACGTTGATACTTCATCCTGTTCCTACTACTCTTTACCAGGCAACCTTTTCTCTTTCTAACTATGAGTCTAGGCTTAAAATGATGAATGCAAATATGGTTACTTCAAAGAAAGAGGGTGATGATTTAGTCAAAGCTTCTCTACCGAAAGTCTTGGCCTTTTGTTAGTTTTCTATTTGAGGCATAATAACCCAGCCATCAAATCAGTCAGCTTGCAGAAAAAGACAATAAAAGCTACTTCATGTTTCTTACCTGCATACATATGGTATGTAAGCCTTTCGATCAGCTTAATCACAGTCCCTGCTTTGATAATTGGAATCCCAGCCTTGGGTTGCACGTTCTCTTCAAACAGAATATTCTCCTCGGAGTCTGGCTCTGCAAACCTATACACATCAGCACTAGGCAGCCTCATCTGCTCCTCCTTCTCTTCCTGTAGCATTGTTACATCGAGCATTCGCTCCAGGGTACTCCGGTACTGTAAAGATATCAGTGCTGCCATCCAGTTGTTTTTCTCTTCAGCTGACTTGGCAGAAAATATAACACTATTTCCATCTTTCAGAATTATTTCAAAAGCATGCTTGTATTCACTGGTGTCATCTTTATCGTTAATTTGTACCTTTCGCATAAAAAACTTTTCTTTAAGACGATATTCTGCATTGCTAGCACCAGGAAGTCTTGGCTGCCCGTGATTTGATTTACAGCAAATCATTAAGCCATCGAAGAGAAATATGTGTCTCTCATGCTTGGCTCCTACACGTGTAAGAGTTCCTTCCATTATGAACTCATTGCAGCACTGTCCAATGTCTTTCCCTTCCCAGCCATCAATATTCTTCTGAATCTCGTTCATTTTCTTGATTGCTAGTTGTTTCCCCTTCATTTGCTGGCTATAAAATCGACATGCAGACTCACTGGGTAAAGGAAGAGACACTATTAGTACAGAGACAGAATTTACAGTTCATGCAGCTAAGGTGGCAGGGCACACTAGAATTTAAAACATCACTGACGCAAGCTTACTGATTCCCTAAATATAATATATGTAATTATACAACTCTGGAAATTAAAACAGCACAGAGATACTTTCAGAGCTATAAAAAGAACAGTGATATTCAACTATATAAATTCATGTACAAAATGATTATTTCTGCCTGAGTACTAAATATTTAGAAAGACAGATCAAAAAGTAGCCCAATACAGTAAAAAAAAAAAGTTGTAAGAGATGAAAGTAAGTTGCAAGTATTTTTAAAGGAACAAGATCCAACGATAAAAGTAAACAGCACACTATAACTAGGAAAGTGGAAAGTCTGCTATCTAAATTAATGTCTCAAGTTATATAATCCCTCAACTAACGAATACTTCTAATTTGACTTTGACATAACAATGTCGCTGGTGTAAATCTACCCGGTACACTTTCCTCTGTCTCCTTAAGCTCACCCGCTGCTCCTCAGGAGGTCTTGTCTGGGAGTATGCAGGGAAAATGCACAAATATGAAAGGTTTTTCAAACAATAACAAATTCTCCTGGCTTTGATGTCACTTCCTCTGAAAGACCAAGCTTGTCACTAACATCTTTTTCTTCATTGTTTACTTAAGGAGGGAGCTAAGGCCCCTGAATTTATGCCACAGCTTCAGGGTAGAAAGGAAGAGACTTTAGAATGGCAAGAGTCACCTCAGTCTTCGTTTTGCGAGACTTTTGGAGCATATTTTTTCCATGCCACTCTGGACGTTAAGCAGAGCTGTTATTGCTTGTTTCACACATTCCTTGTCTTCTTGATCTTCACTCTTTTCTTCTAACTGCTGTGAAGTCAAAGGCAAAACAACAACCTCACTTTATTTAAGGATAAAATTAACATTTACTCAACCTTTTCAACTTCAGTAATTTTAAATATTCTATAAATACAACATTTTAGATTTTGTGTATGTGTTTTGCCTGCATATATTAACATGTGCTCCATGCGTGTTTCATACCCACAAAGGTCAGAAGAACATGTCAGATCCCTTAGTACTGGAGTTGCAGGTGGTAGTAACCCAATATGTGGATGCTGGGAGCTGAACCTGTGTCCTCTGCAAGAGCAACAAGTGTTCCCAACTACTGAGCCATCTCCCGTCCTCTCGGTTTACTTTTGAAGTGTTTTTTTGAGCTGGGGATATAGCTGGTATTATGTTTACCTAGCATACATAAAGCCCCGAATTCTAGTCTCTGATACTGTAATCTTGGGACTCAGCAGGCAGAGGTAGCCTCAGATACCTGAGCCGCTGTCCCTGGGGGAAAAGAAAAAGCAGTTCTCGTTTTCTGCAAGGTTTGGTAGCAAACGCATGTAATTCTAGTACTTGGGAATCTGAAGTCAGCCTGAACTCAGAATTTGTCTCATTACTATCTGTTACCAGGTTCTCTCTGTGAAAGAACATGTATGCACTCAACATTCAAAGTTCTGTGATGGGAGAAGTCCTGTGTATATGTCAATAAAGCACTGTTGGCCAATAGGGAACCAAGATAGGTGGGACTAGGAGTCCAGGAGGACTCTGGGAAGGAGAAACACAGAGAGTCAAGATGTAACGCCGTGAAGTAGGAAGCCCGGAAACCTCTCCGGTAAGAGAAATACTTAGATTATCAATTATGGGATAAATACTTAAGTCAGAGCTAGCCAGTAAGAAACAAACAAGGCCAACAGCTTCATAATTAATACAGCATCTTGTATGTTATTTGGGGACTACAATGTGGCAGAGCCCAGGCGACTGGCGGGTGATAAACCAAAGCGACTAGCAAGGTGTCAGAAGTGGGATTGAATTTCCACGTAGAATGACAAAAGCTTTAAAGGAATTTTAGAAACAAAAGGACAGAGAGAAGCACGGCTTTTTGGTAGCAGCATTTTTCTCAGGTGGGCTCTGTTTTGCTAGCGACAAGAGTCACGCCGCTTGCTTAAGGGAGTCTTCCTGACTCAGCATTAAAAAAAAAAAAAAAGCAAGGTTGTTTTAAGAGGCTCTGATAACAATTAAAAGGTGTGTATGTACAGCTGGAAGGCAATGTACTGAGGCAATGAGCTGGAATCACGCTTACGCCCACCATCTTGGAAAAACTACAGTTTAAACAGCCGCGGTTTTAACAGGTAAGACACGTGGCCAGAAAAACATAAAGATTTACAGTAAAGTCAGACTTGGATGAAGAAAAGCTTCTAAAGGTTTACAGTATGTTTAAAAATATACGTAAGATTAAGAGAGAAAAAGAAACGACAAAGTGTTAAATAAATAAAAAGGCCGGCTGTGGTGGTGCACGCCAGTCAAAATTGCTCCAGAGGCAGAGCCTCTCTTTACAGTTCTGAAAACAAACGGCACAGACTGCTTCTAAACCCAGAGGAATTAGCATGGCACAGAGATATCCCCCTAACCCCACCCAAGACAGAGTTTCTCTGTGTAGCCCTGGCTGTCCTAGAACTCACTCTGTGGACCAGGCTGGCCTGGAACTCAGAGATCTCCTGCCTCTGCCTCCCGGGTACTGGTGCACCACTACCACCTGGCACTCAGAGATAATTTAAGTGCAGAATAAAAAAATAAAGTTCAGGGCCGGCCAGATCACTTAGTAAGTCAAGCTGCTGCCAAGCCTGATGGCCTCCGTTCAATCCCAGGGACCCACATGGTAGGAGGAGAAAACCTTAGGTTGTTCTCTGGCCTCCAAAAACATGCCTCCCCCTTTCCTTCTGCTCATCCCCATACATAACTGAATAAATGTAAAAAAAAGTCATTTAAAATATAAAGTCCAGAGACAGTCAAGTCAGTAGCACACAGAGCAAGATTTGACCATTAGGCAGAATATTGTTCCCTTTGTATTTTGTCCTGAGTATAAATATATTTTTTAACTGTATGCCTGGGGGGAAGGGGAGTGGGGGGTAGGTGAGACTTATACACGTGAGTGCAGTGCCCTCAGAGGTCAGATGAAGGTGCTGGAATTACAGGTGTTTCTGAACCACCTTGCATGGATGTTGGGAACTAAACTCTTATCCTCTGGAAGAGCAGCAAGTGCTCTAATCTATTGAGCCATTTCTCCAGGACCTGGACTTGGTATTTTATATTACCAATTCAGCAATATATTCATTTGTACAAAATTCTAATATAAGCTAACAATTCTAACAAGAAAATCCTGCTTGGAGATCATTTGATTTTTCTATTCAAAAAATGTTTCACAGTCTTTTATGTACCACTTAACTTGAATTTTGCATATGAAATATATTGGCATATGAGAAATACTGCTTGTGTTATTATTTTATGTGTATGGGTGTTTTGTCTGCATGTATGTGCACCATGTGCCTTGGAGAGCAGAAAAGGATGTCATACCTCCTGGAACTGGAGTTACAGACAGTTAACCACCTGGCATGTGGGTGCTGGGAACTGAAACCACATTCTCTGGAGGAACAATGGCTCTTAACCATCGAGCCATCTCTCTCCACTATTAGCATTTTTAAAACCAAAAACCCAACAATATTTCCCCCTTTTTCTTCTTTTCTTTTTTTCTGAGAAGGTCTTTTGTGTGCCTTCAGGTGGCCTTGAACTCTCTACCCTCCTGCCTCCCCTTTCCAAGTGCTAGGATGACAGGTTTGTGACACTGTCTGGTTTACACAGACGGAGCCCAGTGAAGAGCACACTACCAACACAGCTACATCCCCAGTCACAAAGTGTTTGAATCCATAAAGCTTTCTGAGGAAACACTTTCAAATGATATTTTTGCCTTCAGAGTTAACAGGTAAGCACACCATTTCAGTATAATGAAGACTGTTTTTTGTTGTTGTTTGTTTTGAGAAGTCTCAGTATGTTGATTAGGGTAGCTTCAAACTCACAGAGAATCTATATGTCTGCCTCCCAAATGCTGGGATTAAAAGTGCATGGTCATCACACCCAACTAATAAAGACCTTTCTGTATGTGCATTCTTTTCTTTTTATTTAAGTTGATTTGAGCTGGGAAATGATGCAAAATAATTGAAGCTAATTATCCTTAAAGAGGCGGCTTACTGTTGCCATAGAAACAAAGCAGTAACAATTCACACATAAATGACAGCAAAGAAGCATTCTCTTGTTATTGTACATGGGTGGCTGTTATTAACACTGCAAACTTACCTATTAAGTGCACCCTCTCTAGGATTATATCACATATACACTGAATGTCATCTAAGGAATCATATTCTAAAGTATAATGAAAATGTGGGTGTCCTACACAGATAATAGCTTTATCTTTTCACAGGAAAGGAGTCACTTATATCCTTGATTACTTTCTGGTTCCTTAGAAAGAAGCAGTGGAGAAGCCAGGTGTAGCAGCAGAAGGATCACCACAACTTTAAGGCTGGCTGGGCTGCAGAGTAAGGCTTGTTCAACAGAAAGAAGCAAAGGCAAAGTAGTTATTGTGGTATACTGCATGTACAATGGAGCTCCCAGGAAATCCTAAGAGACAGATGGTATAAAAGGGCCATCAAAGGAAAATGATAAGCCTGGTAATGGTGGTGCTCGCCTTTGATCCCAGCACTCAGGAGGCAGAGGCAGGCAGATCTCTGTGAGTTCCAGACCAGCCTGGTCTACAGAGTGAGTTCCAGGACAGCCAGGGACACAGAGAGACCCTGTCTCGGAAAAACCAAAAAACAAAACGATATTCATAGAAATATTCTAAAGAATAAAATTTGATTATTTTAAACAAAATAAATTGTACATGGTATTTAATTTTGAGGTTCTTGGTTTTGTGGTATGGGGGCCTGAACCGAGGACCTCATGCAGAGTAGGTAGGCATTCTACTACTGAGTTACATCCCTTCCCACATCCATCCAGTTCAGTTTATCAGTACACAGAATAGCTAGAATGGCTTCCCTTTTTAAAAGGAACAAGTGAATTATGATTTATTTCTAGGAACTATTTTTCTCCAACATAATATGAATATCATTTACTTAAACAAATAGGCAAGCTCATGACTGCCAGTCCAAACCCTCTTCACCAATGTACCCAGTTAACTGACATGACATGAAAAACCTATTTAGAACTAAGGTCTTTGCAGGTTTAATCAAATGAGGTCATGCTAGATTATGACTGAACCCTGATACCCACTACCCTGGAGACTTTGTATTAAGGAAAGGGAGGCCTGGATGCTGATCCATCAGGGTCAGGAAGTGATGAACCTAAGGCAGGTGGAGGCAAAGCCCGAGGCTACCTGTGAGGTGAAGGAGAACCCTAGATGGCTGCCTCCTCAGAGCCAAGAGAGGACTCTTCCCTAGCCCTGACAACTCCAGATCTCTGCCTCCTCAGAGCCAAGAGAGGACTCTTCCCTAGCCCTGACAACTCCAGATCTCTGCCTCCAAAGCAAAAGGAATAAGCTACTCTTGTTTTCAGTCACCAAGTTTATATCCTGCTATGGCGGCCTTGGAAGATATTTATATGCACATACTACATATACACATATATGCATACATACATATATACACATACACATATCTATATATCTACATATATATCAGACTTTAACTTGATTCTTAAAATGAAAAAAACTCACTTTCCCTTAAATTACATGGACCCAGCATATAGCAAAGAGAACGGGGTAATTGCCAGGATATTAATTAAAGTTGTTAATTTTGTTGAACAAATCTATTAATATTTAGAATCTTGGTTATTATGTTTAGTCCTAACAATCTAGTTTAACTTTGTTTAATAAGACACATACACACAATCAAAAATAAAAGCTTAAAAATTTTTAATTGAAAAATTTCCTAATACCCCCCAACCTCTAGGAACTACCACATTACTACTGTATTTCTGAGTCTGACAGTATTACGCTAATAGCAGCAAAATTTTACCCTATGAATTTATAAAGTTTAAGGCATTCTAAGTCCCCCAAATAAACATGTATACATAAAATTTACAATTAAACTTCTTTTAAAACACAACACAACACATTGATAGGAAATCTGAGATTTAAATGTCAGGTACTATGTATGCTAGGCATGAGAACTCGAAGGTATATAGGCTTTGTTCCATTTCCTCAGGGATCATACTGTCTCTAGATAAGGCAGACAGTAAAAATGCGACAAGTTCTATAAAGAGGTCTTAAGACAATAAGAAGCTGAGTGGAAAGAGAAGCCCAGGAACAAAGGGATGTTCTGTAGGGAGCCGATTAAAAAAGGGAAGTTGGAGAGAGGAATTCCACCAGGAGACAGACACTGAACTGGGGTGTCCAGGGCAGCTGAAGCCATGGCGGGACTAACCCTGAGATGAGCTGAAGGACTAGCAAGCACAGTGAAGCCCAAGAGTTCAGACTTCCTGTAGCAGGTACCAGGGGACCAACTGTACCTTTCACCCTGAGGGTTCACAGAAGTACAAAGACCGTGTAAGGATGGGGCTATTATGTTTATTCAAGGGACATGAAGGTGACGCCACTACAAATGGACACGCTGCTGAACACAGATCCAATTCTGATGTGAAATCATGAGGCGCTGCCAGTAAGGAAGAGAAAAGATTCGAAAGCTGGTGTGATGGACAGAACCCAAGCTGGCCAATAAAGACAGAAAAAAACAAAAAGACAAAACAAAACAAAACAAAAAGCCCAGAGGTGTGTACAGGCAGCAGAGTGGGAGATGTGGTGAGGGAAAGGTGTTGAGTAAGAATGATAAGAAACATCTCTAGTGACGGGAACATGCCAGTGTCCATGAAGCAACCTTTATAAATACAGTGTTTTAAGTTGGTAGTACTACCCAGTGAAATAAGCATTCCATAGAAAGGAAACCAGGCTGCCAGGCCATAGTGGCTCACGCCTTTAATCCCAGCACTCAGGAGGCAGAGGCAGGAGGATCTCTGTGAGTTCGAGGACAACCTGGTCTACAACACCTAGTTCCAGTATAGCCTCCAAAGCCACAGAGAAACCCTGTCTCAAAACAAAACAAAACAAAACAAAACAAAAAAGCCAAAAGGAAACCAGGGTTCAAAAATAAAGTGACTTTTCTCTAGCCACCCAGTTTACAGGTAGAAAGACTCCAATGTCTACAAAATTCTCAAACTCACCCAATATCCAGATAAATTATTGTTAGGTTCCAACTGTCCCCCAAACCCTAGCATTTGGTGCCTCCATCTGCCCTAATCGCATGCAGTCAGTTCTGCCTCCAGAATTAACAGGTATAGATGGACATTAGGTAGTAACAACAATTCCCCAAAGAGAAAAAAATTAGAATACCAAGAATTGTGTGTGTGTGCGTGCGTGAGTGCTTATGTGTGTGTGTGTGTGTGTGTGGTCTATGGTTGACTGAACATTATAACCTCTTTAGTAATTTCCCTAAGTAAGTTACAAATATACTACTGTATTTTACAATTTTGCAACACTTTTTAATATGCTAGTGTATACTGATCATTTCTCCATTTATTTAGATTATTTCATGATATCAGCATCTCAAAAAAATAACCTGAAGCAGTCAGGAAGACGGATTAGTTGCTAAGGTGCTTGCTGAGCAAGTATAAGGACCTGAGTTCAGATCTCTAGCATCTACTCAGAAAGTCAACATTACACACGCCTTTAATCCCAGAACTCAGGAGGCAGAGGCAGGAGGATTTCTGTTTGTGGCCAGTCTGGTGTATGTATTGAGTTCAGACACAGTCAGAGCTACAAAGAGACTCTGCCCCCCCCAAAAGAAAAGAAAACAAACAAAAAAACAAAATTAGTGAGGTAGAGACAGGCAGACCCCTAAAAATGGCTAGTCAGCAATTCTAGCTGAATTGGCAATTTCTAGGTTCAATAATAGGCACTGTCAGATAGCCAAAACCAAGGTGGTAACTGGAGAAGACACCCAATGTTGACTTCTGTCACAGATACAAATACGTACCACCTACTTACATACATATAAAATAATACACCTTGGAAATTCTGCTCAATGAAAATAAGTTGAACAGCATACCAACAAATGGAAAGGTGGCTTGGCAGGTAGACATGTTTAACTTTGATTTCTAGGATACACAATGGAAGGAAGGAACCAATTTTGCAAATTGTCCTCTGGCTTCATGTATACTATGCGTGCTGTGTGTGCATTTACTTATGTATACACATGCAAAGTAAATAAAAATACAAGCAGTGTATTATTGCTGAAAGAATCCACAAAAGAACAAAAGACTAGCCTGTGGGTCAATTAGTTTCCTTTCTCTGTACTACTTTATATACTGTTTACTTTGCAATGTAATTTAAGTTATAATATGATTCAGGGATATATATTCTTAAATCAATTGAAAAGTGTTAAATCCGAAAGTCCTGAGGGATGTTCTTAAAGTTCGATTACCACAGCTACAATTTTTGGAAATTTTAATTATCTGTATAATGAAAATCATCCCTCCCCACCCCAACACAGGGTCTCATACTGTAGCCCAGATTGACCTAGAATTCTCTATACAGCCTCACCTGGCCTTGAATTCATACTAATCTATTTGCCTCAGTCTCTCAAATGCTGACACTGTAGGTTTGATACACTACACCCAGATTTTTTTTTAATGATTTCTTTAGTGCATGAGAGTGTGTGTGCATGTATGGAGGTAGGCAGGAGGACAACTTGCATAAATCAGTTCTCTCTTCCCACCATGTGGGTCCCAGGAGGCACACTCAAGTGATTAGGCTTGGTAGCAAGCACAATCTCTTTGGCCTTTTTGACTTTTTTTGAGATAAAGTTGAACTTTGGCCGACAGTGACCATGAACTCACAACAGCTTCAAGCGCTGGGCTTACACAGGTACATGCAACTACACCCAACTCTTTTCTTTAAAAAGCTATTTTGAATAAAGTGTGTGTTTGTGTGCCTGTGAGAATAGGCTATGCGTGCGCATGTACCCACAGAGGCCAGAAGGCGGCACGGATCTCCCTGAAACTGTAGTTACAGGTGGTTTGTCAGCTGAACAGTGTGGGTGCTAGAACTAAATGCAGGTCCTCTAGAAGAGCAACAAGTGCTAAGCCACCCCTCTATCCCTTAAGTTTCCATGTGTGTGCACGTGTATGTGTGTGTACATGTATGGGCATTCATGTCCATGGAGGTCAGGGACAACCTTGTAACACTGGTTCTCTCTTTCCACATTTGTGTGAGCTCCAGGGATAGAACTCAACTTGCCAGGCTGAGTGACAAGTGCCAGCCACAGTTCTATCTTGCCGGTCCTTAATTTTTCTTATTAAGATGCTCAGGTTTTATAGCCTTTCAAAATCCTCAAAGGTTCTTGCTTTTGTTTATGAGTTAATTAACTTTTAAGTTTTATGTGGCTACTCAACCCTTTAGAATTTCATTCTTCTTAATATTTTAACTATTGGAGAATTTTTACTAGTATACAAATTTACTGCTTCTAAAATAATAACAATAGTGAGTTTAACAAATATAGTTGCAAAGGTGAACTATGAAAACCTGTTGAACTAAGTCTTTGTTACTTTAGGTTTATTTTCATACTGGGTCCCTGATGAGAGTCCCTGCAACTACTGAGGTCCTTAAATGCAGTCTTGGATGCATACATACATGGTTGTATTCAAAGAATCACCCATCTAAGCAAAAAGGCCACATGATTAAAAATAAAATTTGACAATTACTTTACAGTTCAGTAGTAAAGTCAGAAAAAACATGCTATTCTTCTACAGATTTACTAAAAATTGCTACTCAGATGGACAAAGAAAATGGATATACATTTGCAAATGAAGTGGCAAAAAAAAAAAAAAAAAAAGACACCAGAATGCTTTACAAAGGCCAGTGAGAGTTCTCTTACCTTCAGAAGCTCAAAGTAATGCAGACAGTGGTACACAGGGGCGAGCAGCAGTCGGGGCAGCACATACTGCACAGCTTCTTTGAAGCCTTCACCTATTGACTGAAAAAGGAAGTAAGGTTTTTTTAAGAGTTTATTTTTCTGACATTGTGAAATTTGATTTAATAGTCACTATACCTGCAAATAAAGTGCGGCCCCAGGCTTTGATAACTGACTAAGGAAACGGTCATGGAATCCTGGCCGTAAAATATCCCGAGCATATGATTCATATGGGTCAAATGCTAGTTCCTTAAAAGATAAAAGACAGTAAAATAAGAATAATTGTAAATAATCTTTCTCCAAGGTAAAATATAAATGGCCCACCACCCAAAATACAAAAGATTAAATTATGCTCATATCTACACATATTTCTTTTAAATACTCCAAGTGAAAATTGAGTGGTTATTTTAATTTTAACAGAATAGATGTAATATTCTCAAGTAAAAGAATACATTAGCTCTTTTTTCTAAGTGACAGGATCAATGTATACTAACAAACTTCTCTGTCAAGGATTCTAGGAGAATTCAAAGTTGTCCTAAGAATGGGCAGACTTGGTTCTAGAAAACAGCATAGTTTAACTTGAACAACAAACAATAGTGTATGACTAAGTAAGATTATGAGCATTTAGAATATTGTTGCTAGATATTTATTTACTCATATTTAAAGGTGGGGAGCTGGAGAAGTGGCTCAGCAGTTAAGAACACTTGTTGCTCTTTAGAGGACCCAGGCGCCCTCACAGTGACTTACAACCCTCCAGTTACAGGGCATCTGATGCCGTCTCTGGCTTCGGGGGTGCCAAGCACATAATGTGGCACACACATACATGCAGGCAAAATGCATAAAATAAATACATCTAAAAAGATTTTTTTTGGTGTTGAATGTTTACATTCCTATTTTGTATCATCTAAAATTTTGTTGCAGTTTTCATAAAACTAGCAATCTAAACTGCAAACAAAAAAAAAACATCATTTAATAATCATCAATAAGTTATCTCCTAGCTATGTCTAGAGATTCCTGAGGAAATAAAGAGTAGGCATGTTGGTTTTTAGCAGGAGGGACAGAGATAGCTCAGTGAGTAAACACTCCTGTCGACAGGCCTGATGACCTTAGTTCAATCTCTGGGACCCACAGAGTAGAAGGATATGACTGATTTATACAAACTGTCTTCTGACCTCTACTAGATGTGAAACACACATAACAGAGCTTCAGACTCTAACAAGTGTTCATTCCTATAAAAGCCAATTCTAGAAGAGACAAGCGGAAGGATGTAGTAGGCAAGAAAGAATAAGACAAATTATTTTTATGTGTTAATTGCCTTCAGTGTTGTTTTTAAACTACTTCTTAAGATTTAATAGAACACAGGTCTGACAACGTTCCAGACTAGAGCTCTGGAGGTGCAATGTTGCAGGAATGCTCCAAGCCATCCTTCTTCCTTACATCTTCATTCAACTCCTAATTTTTAATTATTGATTTGTTACGTCTCCACTGATTAATGCTATCTGTATCATATGCCAAGACTCTGTAATCCCATTTTGTTTCCATTGTCTATGTATATCAGTAGCAACACTCTACTATGCTATTAATTACTATTTAATAAGTTTAAATATGTGATAGAGCATGTTTCCTCAGTCTGCTGCTCCTTTAAATTGATGTTATCTCTTTTTTCTGGCATGGGGGTGGGTTGGGAGGTGGTGGATGAGAGAGTCAAGACAGGATCTTATTGGGTAGCTAGCATAGACTACCCTAGCACTTGAGACAGGGTTCACACTCATTCTTAGACATTAACGATCAACTTGCTGTACACTGGCTACTAACACTAATAGGAGTTTTTCCATCCATAAGCACAGCGTAGTATGTATTCCCGTTTACTCATACATCCTGTATGAACCTAAATATGTTAATTTTTCCTAACGAAGGTCTTAAAACACTTTTAGTTAGGTTTTTTTTATCACTATCATTATCATCATGATGTATATGTATGTTTTACAGGTGTGTGCAGGTCAGAACTTTTGGGAGTCAGTTTTCTTTCTACCATAGTTCTAGGGATGAACTATAGGGCTGGACCTCACCCAGGGACCAAGCTCAGCCATCAAGCCTGCATAGTATTTTATGGGTGGAACCGTCTCGAAGCTCTTTTTTCTTACTATCTTCTAACATGTGACAGCTTTTGCCTTTAATGCTCTATATTCTGACAGGTGTAACGGCATAGAAATGCTGATCTTTCTTCTAAGCCACTACACCCAACTGAACTCTTTTTTTTTTCTTGTATTTGTCAAGTATTGATTACAAATAAGACAGTTCTTTTTGTTGTTTTTTGAGATAGGGTTTCTCAGTGTAGCTCTGGCTGTCCTGGAACTCGCTCTATAAAATAGGCTGGCCTTCAATTCACAGAGATCCAGCCTCTGCCTGCCAGGCTCTAGGATTAAAGATGTGCACCACCACCACCCAGTAGGCAGTACCTGTTGTATTTTTTCAGTTTCTGAATTCTTCTGGAAGCTCCTACCTACCTCATTTTTTCATCTTTCTGTTTTCTAAAACAGAGACTCTGTGCTACTTAGTTTTTTTGTCAACTTAACACAAGACTGAATCACATAAGAAGAGGGACCCTCAATTGAGAAAAAACACTCCCAACTGATTGGCCTGGACTGATGACTGATGTGGAAGGGCCAAGCCCACTGTAGGTAGTGCCATCCCTGGCCATGTGATCCTGGACTATATAAGAAGGCAAGCTGAGCAGACCAGTAAGCACCTGTCCTCCACAGTCTCTTTTGGTTTCTGCCTCCAGATTCTTACAGTTTCCCCTGATGGTAGATTGTAACCTGTAAGCCAAACAAACCCTTTTCTCCTCAAGGAGGTTTTATCGCAGCAACAGAAAACAATCTGAGAAGTCTTATACTGCTTTAGCCTGGCACCCAACTTACTCCATGGCTGAGAATGACGTGGACCTTCCTATACCCCTGCATCCACCTCCCATTGCTGAGATGAAAGGGTTACAAGGTGTGTATCTGTGTACCGCCACACCCAGTTCACATGGCCCTGAGGACTGAATGCAGGTCTCAACCTGTGCTTGGGAGACTCTACCAACAGGGCTATAGCCCCAGCTCTTCTTCTCTCCCCCTCCCTGCCTCCCTCCCTCCCTATCCTTCTCTTCCCCTCCCTCCCCCCTCTTTCCCATAAGCTCAGCACTGTTATAAAAGATGGAATGGGTTTTAGAATACTTCAAAATGACTACCAGTGATGACTTATTAAAACTACCTCACATTTAGCATTTGAAATACTCAAGGTTACCAGACTTCCCATGGTATTTGAACTATCTGGCCCTTGGACCTGAGTTTCCTAATCACTTCACTGTTCCAATTCTAAATATTAACATGGCTATCACATACATTTACTATGTAAATTAGTCAAAAATTTAAGGAAAGTTATCTTGATTTCCACAAAAAATCTCGAGTCCTGTTATTGTTATTATCCTTTACAAATGTATAGAGAGAAGTAAATATTAGTAACTTGCCTGGAGCCACACAAGTAATAAGTAGCAGTAAGTGGGGGGTAGTAAGACCCGAGAGCCAAACTTTGACTCATTAGCTTCTCCTGATCTCTCCTCGAAAGAGTCACAATGTGACACTACTGGGATTGGCTATAGTGTACTCTGTGAATCTGGTAATGACAACTTTTTCTGTGCTTGATAACAATAAATGTTGACAATGACTACGAGAAAGGAACAATAATGCCCTGGAAACAGGAACTATGGACCCATTTTTAATGTGAATGTAGACTTATGAACAGACTTCTTTTGCTATATAATGACATACTTACCTCTGCTAAGTCTTCAAAACAGCTTCCTACTAATGGGTGGGGACTGCTTTCATCTGTCATCTCTACAGTGTCTTCTATATGGCCCAGTAACTTTACACTAAGTTCATGTATATCTACTATACGACTAAATATGTTTTCTACATCCTGTGGAGAAAAGGGAAAGAAATATTAATGCAGCCATGTTGTATAATAAGTTATCTTTTTTAGTAAGTGAAGTCATTTTATAATCAAAGTTTAATATATTGAAGAATTTTAATGACTTATAATAAAAAACACTTCAAAATTCCTTTTTTTTCATGATATACAATTAAGAAATACATGTCTCTGTCAATCATTTTGCTATAGAACATTTTCATACTCTACAAATCCTCCACACAGTTTACCAGAGAACAACAGGGTCTTGCTGTCTATCTCTGCATTAAATTTGTTGTGATACTACATGAAGAAAACTACAGCTTTATCAGATACATAATTTTACCCAGACATGAAGGACTTTTTTAATAGTCTACTAAACTGTAATAATTTTTTGTATTCTGTGTAATTTTCCTATTGAAATTTAATTTACATATTATAAAACAGCTGGTTTTCTGAGAGTGAGGATGCTGAGGGTAATGTGGATGGGACTTAGATTGTTTAAAGCAAGAAAGTATTTTATATCTTGACAACAACAGGGTTAAATATGGAGAGATACATGCATAAGATCTCACTAAACAGTATATTTTAAGTAAGTGTAATCTTCCTGTGTGTGGACCATTTAAGTATACTATAAAAATATATTTATAGAATATATACTCAATGGCTTCAGTATATCAGACTAAAGTTGTCACCACAAAAGACAAACTCATTAACAAGAGTAACTTCCCACTATTTTATCTACAGTCCCCGCAGCCACAGTTCTCCTTTCTGTGTCTGTTTAGCTGCCTATTCTAAACAGCCCATGCAAACAGATGACATGGTATTACACTAGCATTAATAAACTGGTCATTTCATACAGGCTAGTTGTAATATGGTCTCTGAGACCACATAATTTTATACTGTTCTGTTAAAATCTACTGGTTACTATTTTATCAGTGATTTTTGTTTCTGTGTAATTAATTTTGAGAAATGGTTTGTATACAATAAGATATCCCTACTTTAAATGTATTTATTGGTGAGACTGTATGTAGTTAGTCCTCTTTGTAACCTCATTATAGTTGCTATCCATATTTTCTTGCCTTAAAAACATTTTCCTTATGGGGCTGGAGAGACGGCTCATCAGTCAAAGCACTGGCTGCTCTTTTGGAAACCAGGGTTTGATTTCCATGACCCATAGGGCAGCTTATCTACAACTCCAGTTCCAGAAGATCCAATGACCTCTTCTGGCCATCACAGGAAAACAATCACATATAAAGTAAAATCAAACCATAGTTTTAAAAAGTTCTCTTACGTCTTATCTGCATCAACTCCCACCTCCTCGCAGAAGGAGTGTTCTCCTTCCTGTTACTAGACAATTATCTTTTCCAAAACATTATGTCTGTGTGTCCAGCCTCTCTGCTCATGTTCTTGAGATTCAGCTATTCAGGTGTATGCCTAAGTATACCATTCTTTATTCCTGATGAGTAGCTGTCCACTCTAGGGGTAAATCAGTCTCCCTATGTCCACCCTTGACAGGCATTGAGTTATTTCCAGTTTTGAGCTACTGAAAATAAAGCTGCTATTTTGAATGCTCTTGTTTTTGTTTTTTCTAAGCAAAAAAAAAAAAAAAAACCAATACAATTGTCAGAAATGTAGCAGTGTGTTACAAAAAAGTCAATTTTAAAAACATTTCTAATTTATATCTCACAAGTAACATGGAAATTTTACAAACTCATAAGCAGTCAGTCACTCCATTCTTCTCGTAAAAAGTCTTTCTAGTAAGTGTGTGGAAACATCTCACTATGCTTTGATTTGTACTTCTCTGATAATTAATGATACTGAACACCATTCAGCAAGTTTTGGTTGTTGATTTTTGTTTTGTCTTTCCTTTACTCTTTTTTAAAAAGTAACTTTAATGAAACAACTTAAATGCCATGCATTTCATACATAAGTTTAGCATATTTATAGCCTTTAGACTCTTAATTCTTTATTTAATGTTTGTAGTGCTAGGAACTGAACCAAGAGTCTCAAATGCACCCTAGACACCTCCGCCCCTGTTCCTTTACTGGTTAGCAGTTGCTCACTGTTGTAACTTGAACTCCAGAGCCGCTCCTGTGGGCACCGTCATCACCATCAGTCACCAGGCTCTGCGGCCACATTCTCTTCACTAGTGAGATTAGTATGGACTACCCTGAGACTAGCCTCTTGTCCAAATCCAGTTCCTTCACGCTCCCAATCATACTGCCCATCTAGTTCAATTATGACGCTCATCACACTTTAATGTACTTTCTGTTTACAGCTTTGCCCTGACTAATTAGAGGACTGCTTTTTACTCATCTAAATATGGTGTCCAACAATACAGCTGCTGCTGATAAGTATCAGTTAAATGGCTCAAATGAGTCAATTGAATCAAAAATATCTTCCACCTAAACAAGAGGCTCTATTCCTTGAAATAAATGATTATGTGAATTCATTTTCATTTATATAACTAGTCTATTTTAGATTTCGTCTTTTGATTTCTGATGTTTAATCTCTTGAAACTGCTATAGCACTTTGTGATCATGAATTTAAGTCCCATAACTTAAAAAAAAATGATCAAATTAGAAGTTGTGAATTATGTAAGTTCAATTTTGAAGTGAAATTTAACAACACATGCAAAAATAGCATAAAATATACTTACGTAAGATGAAAACAATTTGGAATTAGAGACAAAGGGTTCTCGAAAAACTTTTATAATTAGATTTAATTCTCTTATATATTGTCGAATTTCTGCCATGAATGCTTTTACCAAATCATAGTAAGTTTGTTCTCCTGAGGTGGAAGGTTCTTCATCAGTTAAAGATAAGATATTTATATCTTCTACATCTTGATGAAACATATCCATCAATACCTGTGCAGTCAGAGATGAAACGAAAGCATCACACACGCTATAATGTGTGTGGAAGTCAGAGGACAAACTGTCCTTGGAGGAAGAGCTGGCTCAGGGGTTAAGAGCAATGATGCTCTTGTAGAGGACCTGGGCTCCACCCCCAGTCCCACATGGTGGCTCACAATCTTCTTTCACTGCAGTTCCAGGGGATCTAATGCTCTCTTTTGGCCTCCATGGACACCAGGCATGAGCATGGTGACAGACATACATGTAGGTAAAAGAGTCATATACACTAAAACAAACTTATTCAAAAAGTTTACAATTAATACTCTTGTTGAGACTCATCCTTCCCATTCTTGTGGACTTCTGAAGTGTCACTACAATATATTTATCTTAGGCTACAATGTAAGTTATCTTTCAACAATTTGAGACTTGCTGGAATTTTTTACTATTTTTTAAACTTTAAAGACATAGTCTCATATAATTGAAGCTCACTATGTAGCAAGGTTAGCATCAATTTCTGATCCTTCTGCCTCCACAGTTGAGTGCTGAGGTGGTAAGCTGGCACAGCATGTGCAGTTGATACTGGCTGGGAATCAGACCCAGGGAATTATACATCCTAGGTAAGCACTCTGTCAACTAAACTACATCCCAGCCCCTTTTAACATGTTTACAGAAAAAAATGTAAACATAAAACCAAGTACTTATCCATTTAAAAATATCAAAACACATATCTTTCTTCAGACTAGGACATTTATTTCACTCTAGATTCTTCTGTAAGAACAAGCACTAAAACCTGAGTAGATTTGGTGAAGAGAATGGTAGGAGTGTGAGGAAAGTGCCATCAGAAAATATCGTCTTTCCTGTGAAGGCATTTAGGTGTCAAATATCTTTACCTTATCCCTAAACACTCCCCCAACACCCCCCTTCAACAGGGTTTCTCTGTATTGCTTTGGAGACTGTCCTGGAACTTGCTCTGTAGACCAGGCTGGCCTGGAACTCATAGAGATCCACCTGCCTCTGCCTCCCAAGTCTGGGATTAAAGGCGTGTGCTACCAATCCACCAATGCCCGGCTCCCCCAACACAGTTCTGTTCTTTCTGAATTATATTAGCATTTAATAGATCATAAGTAAGATTTATGCATAAAATACACAAAAGTTCTTACCTTATCAGCACACATTGCCACTTTAATGTCTTGTTTTGTAATTTCATAATGTCGTATATTTCTTACATAATTCCCCACCAGCTTTAAAATATCTGCAGAAATATATTCTAATACTGCTACTATGTAAACAGAAACTTGGTGGTCAATTTTATAACCTAGAACCTCCTGAAAAATTAAAATGAAAGCATGTTTAAACATCATACACAGTAAATATACTGATTAAAAAATAAAAACATTCAACTTGGCTTAACTTTTACTGAAGCTTGTCATTACCAACATTTAATAATTTAAGTTTTAATAGTTCAATCATGCCTATATATGTAGAATACGCACACACACACACACACACACACACACACACACACACAGAAACAAACACACATACACACATGGGAAACTTTTACTTATGTTTTAAATATTGTAATAAGGTTTTGTGTATCTGTATGTATTAATGTGTCACAGTAAGAAAAAAACTAGCATTATTAGGGTTCTTTGTAATTTTCGATTAGTTCTGGAGAGATTAAAGGGGTTAACTTAAATTTAAGTAGGACCAGCTCATGTAAGTAATCTTCAGGGATTTTTTTGTTCCACCATAACACAGAAACCTGCTGCGGTTCCTGCACAAAATGCTAACACATTTTAAAAGCTTTATGGGACACTTAGGTCTGACCAGCAAGACAAAAATTTTACAAATTGTATTTTCTAGCAACCTTTGAGGTAAACAAAATCCACAATATAACTTTCCCAAATCTCTTCAATGTATTTATTACTATTGGTGTGAAATTACATTAAACCATGTTGCCCAATCTGTACTCATTATCATAGTACCCCTTCCCACAACATGAATTCCTGGAAAACTTAAAAAGGATTTTACTGTTAGTTATTTTGCCTTTCAAAGGCAAGATGGCAGGAGTTCAACTTACCCTTAATAAATGATGAATTCTTTCTGCTGGCAAAGATAAAGGGTTTCTTCTCTTCCTCTTTTCAATAGCTGATTGGGCATCAGCTATTGCCCACTTATCAATTGGATGAGGGAAACTTTTTTGAACACGTTCCTTAGAAAATAGGAAAATAACAACTAAACAACAAATAAATGAAACAGACCTGCCTCTGCACCCAAGTGCTGGGATTAAAGGTGTGCACCATCACAGTCAGCTAAACAAACACTTATTTCCTTGCACCCTTACTTTAATCCTAACTGTAAACTCCAGAAGCATTTTCAATTCAAACCTCAATTTTTTTTAACCATCACCAAGAATATTTACTTTCAAAAACTGTCTACAAGCCATGATATTCAGTCATGATACTGAAAGTTAAAGAATTGCCTGTTATAATAGTTAAATCCCCTTCTTTAAGGTAATTTACTATTAGCAAAAAGTGCTCCCTTCAAGTGTTTAAAACCCATTTGCAGTATATCCCAATGAGAGCCAGTAGAGGTCAGTATTACAAAACCTTTAACATATTCTCAGTATTCAACTAGTAGTATGTAAAACTAGATGAAACTGAACATTGCCCCTGAATACAAACCTGAATGAAAATTTTACTAGTAAATACATTGGCACAGATACTCTAGAGCTAGGTACAAGGAAGGTATAGAAAGCATTTAAGACATCCTAGAAGCAGATTTACTGCAGTTATCTAATCCTCTCTTCATTCTATGTTCAAGGCTGTTCAGGTGTCAGTCTTTAAAACTGGATGTTTAATTCCATTACAAGTATAGTTTAATCAGAAGTCAAAGAATTCTTATAGTTACAAATAAAAGTAGAAAATCTCTTCAAACGCCTAGTTGAAACCCTTTCTATCCGTATGTGACAAAGGTGACAGGAAGGTCCCGAAGGCTGGGAGGGGCGGGGAAGGACAAAAAGAGACATCCTAAACACAAAGTACCCATTCCTCCACTAGCCCTCTCCTCCCCATCTCTCTAGTCACTCAGCACTGTGCTTTGGACTGTACCAGGGCCTCCCGCCTCCTAGGTTAATTGTTCTACCATGAGGCTCCAGCCATGGGATTCCTAACACTTTAAAACCTCAATTCAGAATGACAACATGAAACATAAGACACGAAAGTTGAAGGAGGGTTACTGGGGGAGGGGAGGTGTCAGCAAAAAGGGGATAGGGGGAGAGATGAGTGACGACAAAGTACAGATGACACGTGCGTGAAAACGCACGTGCTGCACAAGCCTCATGACATGAGGTCAGCGCCCTGTGCTCAGAAACCCAGAGTGGGAGAACAGACTCCCGAAGCTGCCCCCAACTTCTAGACAAGCTACATGCATGTCTGCATTAGCACTCTCCTCTCTCCTCTCCCTACCACACATACCCCAATGAAGTTTTTGTTTGTTTGTTTGTTTTTTGGTTTTTTTGAGACAGGTTTCTCTGTATTGTTTTGGAGGCTGTCCTGGAACTCGCTCTGTAGACCAGGCTGGCCTCAAACTCACAGAGATCCACCTGACTCTGCCTCCCGAGTGCTGGGATTAAATGCAATAAAGAATAATCAATCACCATTCTGGTGAGACAGCTCAACAGGTTAGCTCACTTGCAGCCTGATGTCCTGAGCTTGATCCCCAGAACCCACACAGTGGGAGAGAAAGTAGTGAAAGCTGTTCCTTTCATGCAAATGTGGCAGTACACACACACACACACACACACACACACACACACACACACACACACACACACACACACAGAGATAGTTAAATGACACATTTTCAGTATTACACCCTTACACAGAAACTTAACTGAAACAGGGTTTCCTAAATAAACCTTGCCCTTGTTTTATGAAGCATACTACTCTTTTCTATTTCTTTTTGGATGATCAATGCACTAAATGATCTTACAACACAGAGAGCGTTCTCTCCAGTCCCAGAAAATTGATTTTTTTGCCTTAAATCTTCATATATGTCTATTACCTTCTGATACTCAGTTTTCAAATACATAAGCAAAGAAAAAGATGGCCCATAGGATTATTGTAAGGATATAGAAATTTACAAACTAGAACTTTGAAAGTATAAAATTTCAGTGGTTATGAGCAAGTAATTCTCTTCCAGGAGACCTGAGTCTGCCAACACACAGCTCACAACAGCCTGCAATCCCAGGCCCAAGGGGATTGTCCTGGACAGTTTTATGTCAACTGGACACAAACTAGAGTCAGAAAGGAGGCAACCTCAAGTAAGAAAATGTCTCCATAAGATTGGGTTGTGGCAAGCCTGTAGGGCATTTTCTTATATTTTTGGTTGTGAGCCTAGCCTTTAATGGCTGAGCCATCTCTCCAGCCCGGGGAATTTTCTTAGTTAGTGATTGACAGGGGAGGGCCCAGCTCATTAAGGGTGGTGCCATCCCTGGGCTTGTGGTCCTAGGTGTTATAAGAAAGCAGGCTGAGCAAGTCAGTGAGCAGCTCCCCTCCATGGCCTCTGCATTAGCTCCTGCCTCCAGGTTTCTGTTCTGTTTGCATTCCTGTCCTGACTTCCTTCCATGATGAAATGCAAGCCAAATTAAACCCTTTTCTCCCCAACTTGCTTTTTGGTCATCACAGCAGTAGAAACCCTAACTAAGACAGGGATCTAACTCCTTTGGCCTCTGTAGGTACCTGAACTTTGTACATATCTACACACAGATGTATAAACATGCATATAATTAAATATAATAAAAATAAACATTTTAAAAAGAAAACATTACATAAGTGACTGGCATTCTTGTTACTGTCATATTCTTGCAAAAAAACTATCTACAGTTCCAAAGCCTACACATTAGAATTTCATATGGCTTTTTGTTCCTAGTTTATATATTAAAGATGAAATGAGACAAATATAGTTCTGTAAACATAAATGGAAAGATCTGGTTTGTATTTGCAATGTCAGCAGATTAGCAAATTCCTAGAATGTACCAACATCAGAATGATAAGCAAATGAGATTTGTAAGCCCTTTCTAATAGACTAGACATAGGTCTGGACTCTCCAAACCCTGGAACAACATAGCAGAATCAAAAAGAAACCCAAATGAAATTATTGATGTGATAAAGTCAGGCAATCATACTTAAGATCCCTGTGAAACAACATAAATAGGTATTTAGGAGAAATTGTGAATAAAAAAATCTGACTTGACAATTAAACAGAAATGGGAAGAAACCAGCCAGGCCTGGTAGGGACTCCTGAAATCCCAGCAAATGGGAGGTGGAGGCAGAAAGATTCATTCTTGATCATACAGCAAGTTGAATTCAAGGCCAACAGGAACTACATGTGCTCCTGTCTCAAAAACAACAAAACCCAAACCACCAGAAAGAACCCTACTATAAATGAGTTAAGAAATGAGAATCATCCTGTACACGATCTTTTCTACATTACAAATCTGTTATTTGATCTTCTGTTTTTTTCCTTTCTTTTTTGGGGGGGCGTGGTGGGAGTGGGAGTGGGGTTCTGGCTGACCCTGGAGATGGAACCTGAGGCTTCATGTATCCTACCTAATCAATGAGCTACACCCCTGACCCTCAGTGTTCCTAGATGCTTAACTGCCTCAGCTGATATCCAGACCTCCCTCATGACTTACCCCATAACTCACAGGCCACGTTCCATTAGCTGCTTCTTTGAAACAGCAGTCTTCCACACTCACCTAAAGTCCTGTGGTTTTAGAAGTTAAGGGCAAGAATCAATAGAGCCCTCCCCTGGACTCTTCTGGGGTGGCCTTGACGTCCCTATACAGTCAAAGTTCATCTGGAAACCCATCCTCTTGCCTTTACCTCCCAAGTGCTGGTTAAAGGTTTGCATCATCCCAGTGTTTGGCATCTAACTCTTGGGGGCCATACTTTGGGGACCTTTATCTCTAGTACATCACCGTCACCACATTTGCTTTGTAACTGTTACCAGCGAAGCTGTTAGTTCATCTTTCTCTGATCCCAATCTTTTCTACCATTCTCCCTCAGATACTTTATTATCAACCCTTTAACTTTTTGAAATGTAAAGGAAATGCTTTTGGAATGAAACTTTTGTACATGTTCTACTCTTAAAATTATGAACAGAGATCTCTGTGAGTTCAAGGCCATTCTGGTTTACATAGTGAGTTCCTGGACAGCCGGGACTATACAGAGAGGCTCTATCTCAAAAAAAAAAAAAAAAAAAAAAATCATTCTAGTAGCAACATGAAGTTGTTGGCTTAAACTGAAAGGTCAAATCTGAAAGTTATACAACTAAGACACATATAAGCTATCACATCAAACACTTTTCTCCTTTACTGTCATTACAACAAACATACAGGCTAGAAATACATACTGTCAATATGAGACAAAAGTTGTCATTTGTCATACCTCCACATCTGAAGCACTCCGAGGCTGAGCTTGGCATAGCATATTTAATAATTGCAAAATTAATTCTTCAACATACTGAAGAGCATCATCATTGGACTCAAGAGTAGGATGAACTTGCCCCTGAACCTATAAAGAAAGAGTGAAGTAATTAAAATGGGGGTTTGTTCTAAAGAATGTGAACTAGCCTACAAATAGACTGAATATTGTCCAAAAAAAGTCAGAGCTTCTCAACCTCTGTTCCCAGCCTCATGCACCATGCATGCTATTAATATCTTTTGGAGATCCAGTTACCTAACTGTAATTTCACTATTTTGCATATGCTATGGTTTGCAATGAGATGGAGAAATGGGAGTAGGAAGGAGAAGCTAAGGTGGTAATAAAACATTCAGTTTATGTGGGATGTCTGCCCATAATCAGTTACAACTTTCTTTCAACATTTTTCTTGAGTAGAATTGGCCTCTGATGGGTCTCTACCTTCCTTACCCAATGATAAGACCCAAGAGGACATCTCATCAGGTTCACTCGTGAATGTCCAGCATCTAGTACTCTACAGAGCATACACAGTGCACATTATTAGGTATCAAAATGCAGTCAAGAGATGGCTCGGAGGATAACAGCACAAACCTGGTGACCAGAGTTGATCCACACACAAATTACACACTTCCCCAATCACAGCATTTCTGTAGCCAGATGAATTGCCAAGAACCTAGTAGGCCAGCTAGCCTGGAGTCCTCCATGCAGCAGGAGGAATAGAGACCCTGTGTGGAAAGGAAGGCATTTACTCCCCCAAATGTTTCTCTCTCTCTCTCTCTCTCTTACTCACTTACACACACACACACACAGAGAGAGAGAGAGAGAGAGAGAGAGAGAGAGAGAGAGAGAGAGAGAGAGACCCAAATAAGTACTTTGACACTTGTGATTTAGTCTACTATACTATAAGACGATGGACGATCACTGTGGGGGTGGGCTTTGAGGTCTCCTTTATCAAGCTATGCCCAGTAACACAGCTCACTTCCTGTTGCCTGCAGATCAAGATGTACAACTCTCAGCTCCTCCTTCTCCAGCACACGTCACATTCGTGCCACCATATCCTTCCATGATGATAAAGAACTAAACTTCTGAAACTGTAAGTCACCCAATTAAATATTTTCTTTATAAGAGTTGCCATGGTCATGGTGTTCTTCGCAGAAACAGAAACCCTAAGATACATGTTGCCCTACTTTAATTAACATTGGCAGATCTCTTCATGTGACAAGGTGAAATGGTCACTGAGTCTCCCAGGATTCAATGGTTATGAGTTCATCTCTTATAAAGATTTACTTATTGTGGTCTCAATCTCACCATGTGCAAAGATAACCTCATATTTCTGATCTTCCTGCTCACACTTACTGAGTAGTGGGTTACAGGTGTGTGTGTGTGTGTGTGTGTGTGTGTGTGTGTGTGTGTGTGTGTGTTGCTGGGGATATTCCATATACAACATCCGTTAAAACTAAGACAGACATTTATTGTGCAGAATCAAATTCATTATATATAGCCACACCAGTGAACCACAATGACTAAAAACAATAATTGGATAACTGTAATTCTTGTATAGTCAAATGCTGGTGAAATCTGATATTTTTTGGTAGAAGTTTTTGGAATTCAAATTTGATAATTTCATTTACTGGTAGTTACTAAAAACTTAGTAAAACCTATTAGATAAATAAGTCAAACAGAGAATTACTTTACTTACAGAAAATGAAGCACAATTTCTAAGTTTCTGAACACTAATCTTTGTTATCTATTCCTTCAAATTAGTTTGCGAAATTCATTTACACAAGAGACCAATAAATTATTTTATTTCCTCAAAAAAATTTTCAAATCCTCTGACTGAAAACATGGTTAAAAGTAAAGCATATTCCCAACTGCCAGATTTACACTAACTAATCTTTAGTCATCCAAGAAAAATGTGGTTAAGATACAGAAATGTAGCACTTTATTTCACCTAATACAGAGAAAGAAAAAAAAATGCTGCCCATAAGACAGTGTTAAGAGCTAAAGTACTCCATTACATTCAAAACTGGGACCCAAAAGATCCAAACTGTATGGGACTATACAAAATAGGTTACCCTGACAAATCTCACATCAGTTCCCTGAAGCCATTCAAGGCTGACAGAGAGAGACAGAGAGAGAGAGAGAGAGAGAGAGAGAGAGAGAGAGAGAGAGAGAGAGAGAGAGAGAGACAGCGAGTGTGTTCTATGACCAATGGTAAAACAAATTTTAAAATGTATTTAAACTAGATGTGGGTTTTCCTTTAAATGCAGTTTTGAAAAATATTGTATTTTACACTTATATTTACTGATACATAAACTTAATATATTTCTTTAAATGTAATTAATATTCTTGAATGAAAATACTTCACTGGAGGCTCAGTGGTTAAGAGTTCAAGTTGCTCTTCAAGAAGATCCAAGTTCAGTTCCCAGCAAATGCTGGGAACTTGGGCAGCACACAACCACCTATAACTCCATCTCTAAGAGATCCAAAACCTTTGGCCTCTATGACACACATACACATAAAGTAATAAAAATCCATTTTTCTAAGAGACATTTTTAATGTGTATGTGTTTTGCCTATGTGCACCACTTACGTGCCTGGTGCCTGTGGTGGTCAGAAGTGGGCATTAGAGTACTTGGAACAAGAGTTACAGACCATTGTGAGCTACTGTGTGTGCTAGAAACACAAATCAGGTCCTTGCAAGAGCAGCAATGCCCTTAACTGCTGAGCAGATCATCTCTCAGCCTTAGTAACAGGACGCCCCTCCCCCCAAAGAAAATACTAAAGCATCAATGACAGACACGAATAGGGATTTTAAATGATATGACAGCAAACCCTTTGGTAAGATCCAATCACTATGTTTAATCAAAGATGCTACTTCTAAAATTGTAAACTACCCAGAAGGACTGATTGGCTTCTATCATGATGGTTCACTGTATCTGTAGTAAATCCTAGCGTATTGTATAAAAATTTAATTGCTATTATTACCCATTCTGTATGAATTTCTGTCTGGCATAGGAATACTCAGGAAACCTGGGGTGAACTTCCAGAAAGCCGTGTGTTGACGTCTGTAGTAGAATATTATTTTCAGGTGTGTGACTTTTGTTTATGTTTCATTTGTTTAGCTCTGTGAAGCTGTGATTCTTTGCCTGTCTAAAACACCCGATGGTCTAATAAAGAGCTGAATGGCCAATAGCAAGGCAGGAGCAAGGACAGGAGGGGCTGGCAGGCAGAGAGGATACATAGAAGGAGAAACAAGAGAACAAGGAAAGGACATCAGGGGCCAGTGACCCAGCCACCCAGCTATCCTTCTTACTAAGGAAAGAGGTATGCAGGAATAGAAAAGGAAAACCCAGAGGCAGAAGATAAGTAAGAATAAGCCTCCGTGTGTGTGTGATTTATTTGGGAGCTGGGTGGTGGGCCCCTTAAAAACACAATAGAGTTCTCTTGAATCGTTAATAGCCCTTTCTGGCTAATTTCTCTCTAAAGAATTGAAAAGGCTGTAGACTGTATTCTATCATGTCTAAAGCCCAGATCTTCTACTTCCTGTGTGTGTGTGTGGGTGGGTGCGTGCACGCGTGCACCTTTGTGGTGCTATGTATGACACTGAGTGTGCAAGTACCTGTACATGCAGAGGCCAGACCAGGACACTGGTATCTCACTTTACAGCCTTCAGAGCAGGTCTCTCTGTGGACTGGAAGCTCTCCATTTTGACTAGAATGGTTGGCTGTGACTCCAGAGATCCAACTGTTTCAGCTCCCAGTGCAGATTACAGGTACCCAGTCATGCCTGGATTTGGTTTTTGTTTTAATATGGGTTTGGGGATTTAAACCCAAGAACTAATGGTTGCAGAACAAGTACTCTTACCTACTGAGCCATCTTCTCAGCCTTAAGTATAATGGAATCTAAAATGAGGTTTGTATTTTCAAAACCTTTACCATAAAAGCAAATAATAAAGATTTGATTATTCAAATCTCATTGTTATGATTATTAAGTCATAGTTGATGCTTCAGATTTTTATTTCTCTTCACTCCAGGGTTAATTTAAAAGGCAAGGCAAGAAGGGCCAGGGAGATGGCTCGTTAAGTAGAAGTGTCTGCTTCACAAACCCATGTGTGAGCTTTGGTAACTGGATGGAGTATAAAGATGAATTAAGGGCGTGGCACCACTGTCCTACCACCAGACACAATCACATAGGAAGCCTAGCTGCTACTGCTACTGAGCCTTGAAGTACGAGATGTCCCAGTGGACAAAGAATCCAGCCCTTTGGAAACAAAAGACCATCAAAGCACTAGAAACCTGCCAGGCGGTGGTGGTGCACGCCTTTAATCCCAGCACTCCGGAGGCAGAGGCAGGCGGATCTCTGTGAGTTCGAGGCCTCCAAAACAATACAGAGAAACCCTGTCTCGTAAACCCCCCCCCCAAAAAAAAGCACTAGAAACCACATGAAGATGCTGCAGCCCAATTAGACATCAGTCAAGAACCTCATCATCTTCTCGTGAGATACAGTAGGTATCCACAGTGACAGTCACCCAGATCCCAAAGGGACAGGAAGAAGGCCGTCTAAGACCTGATACATCCCTCAGTCTTCCTTATGTGGCTTTGTCTAAGGGATACCAAATAGACAGATAGGTTCCCTAAGACCAGGCACAGCCACATTCTTCCTCTGAGGAGTCAAAAGCTAATGTCAAAGTCACTGATTTGCACACATTCACCAATGCAACATGACACGGGGCAATGAGAACACCAATGTGTGCTGATGTTTAATGAGACACACCAAATATCAGGCAGTCTATGGAAGCAATGACCTTGGTACTGGAAGTAGTACTGAGTGTTTGTATTCCAAGAGCCAAGAATATGAACATAGTCATATTAGCCAAGGTCCAGTGATCAGTTAGACTTCTATAGTTGGTGAGGTTCCAGTAAGAGATCCTGTCTCAAAACATAATGAGGACAACTCCGGAGAAATGAAACCAAGGAGCCTCTGGTCTCCATAAGCACTGAGCAAACATAGTAGCCACCTGTAACCTCAGCACTCAGAAGGTGGGCAATCCATGGGACAAGCTGGTCAGCTAGCCAACAGCCTCAGCAAGCC